TCAAAATTGTAGAAGGAGTAGCATTTTAAAGGAATTTCACAGAAAATTCCATTTTTAGTAACCATGGCAACACCATTCATCAAAATCAAAAACCGATGCACTGTTTTATGTATCTTTGTGTAGTCTACTTGTGTGCCAAGTTATATTGAAATCAGATCAAAACTGTAGGAGGAGTAGCATTTTAAAGGAATTTCACAGAAAATTCTATTTTTAGTAACCATGGCAACACCGGTCATCGAAATAAAAATCCGATGCACTATTTTATGTATCTTAGTGTAGTCTACTTGTGTGCCAAGTTATATTGAAATCAGATCAAAATTGTAGGAGGAGTAGCGTTTTAAAGGAATTTCACAGAAAATTCTATTTTTAGTAACCATGGCAACACCATTCATTGAAATCAAAAACCGATGCACTATTTTATGTATCTTTGTGTAGTTTACTTGTGTGCCAAGTTAAATTGAAATCAGATCAAAACTGTAGGAGGAGTAGCATTTTAAAGGAATTTCACAGAAAATTCTATTTTTAGTAACCATGGCAACACCGGTCATCGAAATAAAAATCTGATGCACTATTTTATGTATCTTTGTGTAGTCAACTTGTGTGCCAAGTTATATTAAAATCAGACCAAAACTGTAGGAGGAGTAGTGTTTTGAAAAATTGTTTACAGACAGACGGACAGACAGACAGACAGCTAGACAGACGGACGGACGACGGACGCATTACTATCGCATAAGCTCTTCTGGTCTCTGACCAGTAGAGCTAAAAAGGAAAACAAATTCTTTAGCCTAAGGTCTAACAAATTAAAGATATATTTAATTTTCCAAATTTTTCAGTTTTTTTCCCAGCACTTAAATCCTACCATCTTTCATCTCACACATAAGAAAACTTTCCTATGTTATGCCTGCAGTAGTGATGGTAATGTTAAATCATATTATAAATGGATATAGACACTAAAACAGAAAACGCAACAGATGTATGGTGATATCAAATATATATGTATGACCTAAACACCCTAATTCCAAATTTAAATAATAAATACAGCAATGAGCAGCCATAGTAAAGCCAAACAAAATCTCCATCCATGGCTAAAAAAATCAGAACAAAAAATAAAATGAAATAACTTAAGCAAATTATTTGATACATACATATGTCTTTTAAAAAAAAAAAGCACACAATCACATCCAAACTAAGCACAGTTGGATCATCGAGAATGAAAAAAATCTATTCTCATCAAAGTTATTTTAGCATTTCTCCCTTATATAACTGGTGCAAACATGTACTGATCAAGTTACCCATTGGTATTCTAGTAGCAAGATACTACAGTCATGAATCAACATCAAAATAACTGTATAATGAAAACTTTTTAGATGTACTGCAATGTACACTTATGTCCCTAGTTAAGGTCAGACATGTTCCTCAAATGTGTGTATTGTATCTCGTGGTATTATATAAGAAATTATTCATATTGTCATTCCCTTCTGATTTCTACATTGTTTTCAAAATGTTTTTAAATATAAGTACACCAAAATTTGTGTTATAGGCCATTTAGAAAATTACCCGTAAGGGTTATATAAGAAATATGACCCTATTTTATCTTGGCCAAATGCCTGGTAAGGTACCCTAATTTTTTGTGAGGAAACTTATTTAAGTACCTTTACTTCAATGACAAATTCTTAAGAAAAATTATATATTTTTGAGGAACGTGTCGTCTGACCTTAAAGAGTAAGGCTGAAGTAACTATGATAGATTTTTTTCCCTTTATCAATTAATATTCAACCCTCCTTGAATGGGTTAACTTAATGTCTACCTATATGATTTTGAAAACAGTTTTCAAGTTAGTACCTTGGGTAGAAATAGATTTTTCTAAAAGTTCTGAACTTAAAGATTCCAATCAAAAAATGAAAAGAAAATATTTCTGAAATCCTATGTGTTTTCGAATATCTTTCCAATAAGTCCCATTTACAAACAAGAGGCCCAGGGGCCACATCGCTCACCTAAGCACATCGGCTAGGGAAAAGCACAAATCAGATCAGAATTGAGAAGTTTACTGAGGGGGTGGGGTGGGGGCTTGAACTCTAATACTACTTGAGAATGCCTCCATATCAATTCTGCAAATAACTTCTTGAGAAAGTTCTTGAAAAAAAGATTTTTATATATTTTTTTAAACATTTTGTTTGTATACATGACTTTGTAATAATTTGAATTTGACTCCCCATTCTTTCCCTCCCACCCAAAAGGGTACTCATGATCTGAACACATTTAAATTTCAATACATGAGGATGCTTACATTTCAATATGACTTAACATAGCTCTTCTGTTATTGAGATTTTTACCTTTATTTTCCTATGTAAAACTTGGATCCCCCATTGTGGCCCCACCCTACCCCTGGGGGTTATGGTTTGAACAAACTTGAATCTACAGTACCTGAGGATGCTTCCATATAAATATCACTAATCATGGCTTTGCAGTACTTGAAAAGAAAATTATTTATGATATTCCTATGTAAAACTTTGATCGGCAATTGTGGCCCCACCCTACCCCCAAGGGTAATGCTTTGAACAACCTGAATGTAAACTACCTGAGGATGATTCAACATGAGTTTCATTTTTCCTGTCCCTATGGATCTTGAGAAGGAGATTTTTAAAGATTTTTCCTATATATTCCTATGTAAAACTTTGATTGGCCATTGTGGCCCCACCCTTGCCCTGGGGTCATGATTTGAACAAACTTGAATGTACACTATTGAGGATGATTCAACATGAGTTTCATCTTTCCTGTCCCAATGGTTCTTGAGAAGAAGATTTTTAAAGATTTTTCCTATATATATTCCTATGTAAAACTTTGATCAGCCATTGGCCCTGCATTTGAATAAAATTGAATCCCGTTTACCCAAGGATACTTTGCAGCAAGTTTGGTTGAAATTGGCCCAGTGGTTCTTGAGAAGAAGATGAAAATGTGAAAAGTTTACAATGATGACAACAACAACAGACAACGGACAAATTTTGATCAGAAAAGCTTACTTGAGCCTTTGGCTCAGGTGAGCTAAAAATGTCAGAGACAGACATCAAAATTCAAATTTTGGAGATTTGACATAGAACAAGAGTGTGAATTTCAAAGTTGGTTGTGACTACATCCTATGTACTTGTGGTTTATTACAACGATATGTGCTCTCAATAAAAGTGTGAAAAGATGTGAATAAAATTTCAGTGGCAGGAAGATGAGAAAAAGATAATAAACCTTTGGGGAAAAGAAATTCCCTCATAGTGTACTTCACAACAACCAGATCACAAAATACTGTACCTTTTCTTCATACACATATTTCTGAAAATTTTAATTTCCTTACATGTAAGTACATAAACAAATGATAATTTATTAGTTGTGGGCATTCTTATACACACAGTGCTTTTCATTCATATTTCAAAAGCAACCTTTCTAAATAAAAAAAAAATTTTAATAGATAAATCTTGCTTATTTTGAGAAAAAAAATGCTGACTAACTTTAGGCCATGAAAAACACTGACATTGTTTATATACATTTAAGTTCTGTTATGCCCTCTATGTTAGCAGATTTATGTATTGTATTTAATCTGCACAGTGTATAAGCTGTAACTACACGTCATGCTTAACAACAGAGTCCATCCCAGATACATTACCTTCTCTTCAAAAATAATTCTCTGAAAATTTATTTCATCAATGAAAAATTCTTATTCTCCCTTCGTCAACTCCAAAATATGCCTTATGCCATATTTGTGCTTGACCATCAAAATATCAAACAAAAATCATAGACCCATGATCTACATTGCTCCACTGAGTCAACAATAACTTGACAAATCAATTTCTAAATGATCGACATTAATAAAACCTCTGTCATCAGGGTCAGATTGAGTACATTAATTTTTAGATGTCAACTTCATTAATTGTAACCTTTTTTGTAATTCTTGAGAATATATGTTTACACATTGATTGTGGTCACAACCCCTAACTCTGGGCTAACATAAGTGGAAATTTTACAACACTGCTTAGCAAATTAGAAAACATTGATTATAAAACGTGAATGATGAGAAATCAATAAAATAAATTTTAGCAAATATTCAATTTATAGAATATAAAATGCCTTCCAAGAGTGAACAACGACTCTTTACTCAAAGTGAGAACATGAATTTTTTTTTTGCTAACCATCAACGAAAACAACTCTGAACATTACATATCATATTACTTTAAATTCCCTCATTCTTTGGATCCATGCTCTTCGGGTAGCAAAAACATTCAACTAATCTCAAAATCAGTCTTTAATTACAAAACTTTCTGGGAAGAATTATGATATATTTGGTCTTAAACTTCAACTTAATTATTTTTTCAACTTTAAAATTTGAAATTTACTTAAATATCATTGATCTCCTTATTCTGTTGCAAAATTGCCTCGTGAGAAAAATATGACATATCTATCAGGCTATCTTTACAGTAATGCTTGCTTGACCTCTTCCAACTCAGGGTAAAATTATTGGTTTGGTAGGCAGGTGAGAAAATCTTTTTTCCAAAACACTTTAACATAATTTGTTGACGGGATAAAACGAATAAAAGAAAAAATATAGTGTCATTGAATGTAAAAAAATAAGTTTTAGTTGGGCGATTCTTAGTCAGTCGGTCAGGAGAGGTCAAACAAACAATTTTTAAAGGACGGCCTCAGCATGCAGAGTGTCTTTGTTGTCCTTTAAAATAAAGGATAATAACGATAAAACAGACTGACAATCTCCGTAGACTGACAACCTGTGTATGAAGCCAGATAATCCCTGCTGGGTTACACTACACACCTGGGCGTTCTTTTTGAAGTCTTTCTTTTTATTCTTGATCTGTTCCTGCTCCTCTTCCATCTGTGCGTATTCCAGTTTCTTCCTCTTCTCTAGTTCTGCCACAGCAGCCTAATTAAAATTTAATAAAGATCACAAACCTCTCACATCTGGTACACATTTTATTTTCAGGAATTGATAAAATGATACAGTTTACTTTAATTTTTAAAAGCGAGATTAAAGTTTCGTTGAGTAGGTAAGGTGTTTTTGAAATCTTGGTATTTTGTAGATAAGGGGGTATGTCAGCAGATCTATGTTTTTATGTCCTTTATAACATGGCTGTTTAGGATACTTACTTTGAATGCTCCAACAAATCTGACAAACTGTGAGAAGAAGGAAGTTGGAGAACACGTGCGGGGGTTCTCTCCGAAAAACTCCACCACTCTCTTGTAGGCATCCTGAAAATAAAACAGTGGAATAAATCAATTTGTTAAATTACACACATCTTGAATTAATCACAAAAGCATGTTCTCACAGCAATTAATTTGAGAAATGTGTGTGTGAGCCATTTTATTGCTATATCAACCAAAGTATATCTCTGCAATAAATCTTCATGTACTATTTTATGACTTACCCCAATTTTTTTTTTTATTTTAAGTTTTGATGGGTACCTCTGCGGTTTTGATGACTTACCTTTGCTGTTTTGATGGGTTACAGTCATATTGAAGAATTAACATTAGGAAGCCTGTTTGTTCAGCTTCCTAAGCCTGTCATTCGATTTTGATTTTACTTTTACTATTCTGCATCTTATCTCTCTTAATTTTATGTCGACTTGTGGATTTTATTTTTACTATACAATGAGAAATACCTCTGCGGTTTTGATGTCTTACCTCTGCGGTTTTGATGACTTACCTTTGCTGTTTTGATGTCGGCCTGTAGTTTTTTGAGCCTGTCTTTTGATGTCTTACCTCTGCAGTTTTGATGTCAGCCTGTAGTTTTTTGGTTTTGATGACTTACCTCTGCAGTTTTGATGTCAGTCTGTAGTTTTTTTGATTTTTTGTCTTACCTCTGCGGTTTTGATGTCAGCCTGTAGTTTTTTTATTTTGATGTCTTACCTCTGCCGGTTTTGATATCAGCTTGTAGTTTTTTATTTTGATGTCTAACCTCTGCAGTTTTGATGTCAGCCTGTAGTTTTTTAAGCCTAACTATTGATGTCTTACCTCGGCTGTTTTGATGTCGGCCTGTAGTTTTTTAAGCCTGTCCTCGGAGTTCGTGAGGAACTCTTTCAGGACAGGAGGGGCGTCTCTGCTGTGTTTCCGTGCCTCATACTCTTTCTGGGTCATCTGCATTCCCTTCTCCAGATCCTTGTAGTCAGTGATTATGTTCTCCATAGAAACTGAAAGTAGTGATAAAATTAACATAAATATAGGACCACTATTCAAATACAGTATTTAAAACTACTGTAAATAATTGCAACTTTTTCTAATTTCAGCTAGTCTCTTTTGATTTTTGGTCCATTAAACAGTAATTTTGTAGAATTTTAACTTTTAATCAAGAACATATAAGGAACTTTCAGTTTAAAATAAAATGAACATATATATTGTACCATTATTCCCACTTAATATTTGAAACGCTGTAAACATGGTAAATACAATTTTTACTTAAAACTTACTATCTAATCATGAAAATAAAATGTTCACGGAAAATGCAAAGAATAACTCATTAACCATCATATTCAAAATAAAAAATGACAGCATAAACTCACCCACTGCGGCTTTTTCTATAAAACGGAGCTCTGAGTCGAAATTTAAAATCTCTGGGAATTTGGTCTGAACTGTCTGCACCAGGAAGTGCATTAATGAGAAGGTCTTGTCTTTGGTCTTCGTGTCCATCAGCTACAAAATATTCCACATACATGAAGGCAATTATAAATCAAGCATTCTGAATACATTTAAAAGCTAGAGCTCACATTATTCTGTAAACCAACCAGTGCAGGTACATTTCATGTTATTGAATGAAAATGATTTTTTGAAAAAGAATATGTAGGTTTAAGGAGACTGACCATCCTGCTCTCATTAATGTAGTTTCTCCCCTTGACAAAGGGACATAACTCACCATGTCCAGACTCTGAAGTTTAAAGCCGTACACCGCCCCTCTCTTGGCACTGTTCATGTAATTCCCTATGGCTAAAATTATCTACAAGGTAAAAATAATGTGTGTTAACTTTATCAATAAATGTTCGTTAACTTTATTTTGTTTCCAATCAAGAAAATATTTGCAGAGTGTTCAATGTTTGAAAGAATTCATAATTTTTCTTTGGTTCATAGGAACCTAATATGAATTGTAGTTTGAAGGGATGTCAATATTCATTGACAAAATGCTTTAAAACTGATTCCCAACAAACTGCCATGGTTTATAGCATTTCTTTATAACACTTATAGAGTGTCTACGAATCTTAAGTTTGGTCCATTCTTACCTCTAACATTTTCCTGACTTTTGTGGAACTTCTTAATGACATGGAAGCAGCAATGATTGCATTGACTTGCTGGAGAAAAAGAATAAAGTAACAGCTTAAATCTGATACATCAACTTTTTCTTTAAAAAAATTTATTCAGATGCAAATAATAAGTATGCACATAACAAAATGTCTGTTTAATGCCATTTTCAGTCATTTTTGTGGGATTCTCTCTAATCCTTGTATAATCTACAACAGTTTACTTACTGGAGCTAAATGATGAACATTTTCATTGAAATTTCCAATGAAACTCATGATGTGTAACTTTTGTGACAATCTCTCTATCTTGGACAACTGAAAAGACAAGATAATATCTTCATACAGTCTAAAATAATGTGTTTACAAGATTTTATATAAAAAAATTACTGAGGCAAAAAAAATAATAAATAAATCCAAATTTATGGTTAAGTTCAACGTTTGTACATGCAAAATCAACATGATATGTACATGTATTTTAGACTTAGAGTGAGGTGTTTTTTTAAAATGTTAAAAAAAGAAACTGTTCTCTTCAGATGGTCTAGACAAACCTGTAACATGAACCTATCCTCGTCTGACAATCTGTCTAACGGTCGTCTATCTTTCTCGTATTGCTTGTACGCTTTCATCTGCATAAAACAGAAAAAATGTCAGTTCTATTCTTTGTTCAATAAAATACTTTTAATCAAAAGGAAAATTTTAATCTCTTCAAACCATTATGCTAAAAGTTTTGAACCTTGTGAAAATTTTTCTTAACTAATTAAATTTTGCATTTTTAAAAACATTTTTCAATTAATCAAGTGAATGAATTCAATTTAAAAATTCATATTTGTTCTTTGTGTTTTGTTTGTTATTTTTTGTTTAGTGGGTAAATACCTCAGCATCATTGGGAAGAATGGTGAGGAGGATATCTGCCATATCTAGAGACAGGGTCTTCAGGTCGATCCTGTAGTGAAAGAAAGAAAACATGGCCGACTTAAAAACAAAACTGATCACAAAAACAATAGCGACAAAAGAACAAACATAACTTCTGACAAACTTACGCATTAATGGCTCGACAAACTTCTTCATTTCTGAGTTCTAGTTTCCTCCTGGTGATTGCTTGTTAAAATGGAAAAAAAAATTCTCATTGATAAAAAATTAATAAAACTATACCTCATATTTTGTAACATAAAGCAATAATGAATCATCTAGTTTTTTAATGAATTAAGGGTCATATACATATTTCTTTTCTTTCAATTAGAAAATGGAACATCTTCTACTAAGAAGTTAAACTATTGCCATTTACATATGAACTTAAAAAGATTTTTGCACATTTAATATACAACACTTACTCATTTATTATTTTCATTCTCTTTTTCATGTGTGTATTTCTCAAAAAGTCCACACAGCTGAGAATAAACAGCATCACCAGTCCTCCCCCCTTTATTGAGTACATCCCCTCAGTAGTAACAGTTCTCCCCCTTATTTATCCCTTACACTTACCCACATTCCTGAGCCTGTTGGGTTCCATGAGACTGACGCTCTCCGCTTTCTTTTTCCTTATAGTCTCCCCTTTCATGTCCTCAGCCCCAATTAATCCAGCACCGAGTTTAAATGTTTCCTCGAATTCCACAAAGTCTATAACACTGAGGAGCTTATCATCATCAAGGTCTGAAAACACTGTCCCCTTAACCTGCTGGGGCTTCAGGGGGGTCCAGTTCAACATAGGAAGTCTGTACTTTGTCTGTATTTTCCGTTTAATTGTCATAGCACCTGGTCCTGCAGGTGGGGGTGGTGCCCCGGGCGCTCCAGGGGGTGGGGGTGGTGGGGGAGGCATTCCTGGTGCAGGAGGGGGTGGGGGTGGAGGTGGTGCCACCACAGGTGGTGGTGGGGGAGGGGGAGGAGGAAGCTCATCTAAAGTCGTAGACACTGTACCTGTAAATATTCGGGAAATAAATTTTCATTTACCAGTGCATAAAATCATTCAACAAGGTTTCTTAAAGAAGCAAAATAGATTTTTTTTACTTTAATATGCAGTTTTTCTCCAAATGATACACAGAAAATGCAATTTTGCTTCCTCAACTTAAAAAACTAATAAATTTTTGGTACTATTAGCATTAACTCTTTTCCCCTTAGACCTTTCCCTCCTTTACCCCTTAATGACGACTTTTGACGCCTAGCCCCCAACCCTTAATGACGAGTTTTGACGCACGTGTATTTCGTTGTTGATTTGACTTGAAATTACCGCTTGTTTACAAATTATCAGAGCACAGGTGGCCACCTGCAGGTTAACAATAGATGATTGCATCATACTACAGTTAGAAATCACGTGATTTACCTGTGTAAACAAACAATAGAATCTTGGAAAGTCCCACCAAAATTCAAAATGGCGGACTGTTACATACGATGTTTTTTTGAGCATATTACTCAGTAAATACGCAATATTTTCTCATCCAGTAAAGCATTTCATGAAATTCAGGCTATAAACTACCTATTTCTTGAAAGGTTTGAAAATTATAATGATCTATATGTGTAATATACTCCAACATAAGTTACGAAAATTTCGTGAAGTTCGGGACCGCGCAGTGCCGATTTCGTCACCTGTTTCTCACAAATTCAGAAGATACCTTCCATTTTACACATATTCATTAATGTACAGGTGTAGAAAATAATTATTTTAATAGAATTGGATCATTAAAGTGTCCAAAAACGTTCAGAAATCAAGTTTTAGGACGCAAGTCTGAAAATTTGTCGGCGAGATTGACATTGAAGAAGCACTACAATTTATTAATTTCTGAGTAATTAAACTTATAAAACTGATAATAAATAATAATTTAACCATCAATTATATCATCACACATGTTTTTTATTATTTATACAGACAATTTTGGCTTATTAAAGCCGTTTTACTTGTTGAAAATATCTAATTTTCTATTTACACCTGCTTTCACCTGAATTATTTTTTTAACAGAAATTTCCGATCGAAATTATGTAAAAAGATTTGAGAAATTTAATTTATTACGAATCCAATGATATATAATACATAATATAAATGAAATATTTTGACCCTTAATAGTTCAGTTTTAAACTGCACTCCAAGTCATCTAAAACGCTCTAAGGGGCAGCCAGGCAAACACTCTAAGGATATGGTCAGTGCGTCAAATCGTGGCATTAAGGGGTAAAGAGTTAAAAGCAAGCATTTATGTCCTATTTTTCAAGGAAATAATTTCATCATCAAATCTACTTCAGTATTTACCAGAGGTAGTGAGGTTATTCCTCATGGTTTCCATTTCCCGTAGCTTGGCCTCATACATACTCAGTCGTTTGGCCGATTCCTCGTCTTTCTCCGTAATCATCTGACGTAACGTGTTCATTTCTTTGTCTTGTTGACCTAAATACTCCTATAAAACAAAAGTCAACTGTGAATCGCATTATATTTCACTTATCACATAATTACAGCTCTGAACAAAATGACAATATTAAAATCCATGCATATTAATTGCAAACATTTAATGACATTGATTTTTCATTCTTTAAAAGAATTAAAAGAAATTTAAAATATTAACTCAAAATCACTATAAAGAGTTTAAGTTTAAAAAACTTCAAATTCATTTCATGATTTACTGAAATGCATACAGCAAAACTCGGTTATAACGAAGTCGCTGGGACCTATGAAATTTCTTCGCTATATCCGTAATTTGTTATAACCGTACAAGAAGTTCATTAAATTTATATAGCTGGGGATCCAAGATGACTGTTATTTCTGTGAATTCGCAATATCAGTGTTCGTACTAAACGAGTTTTACTGTATCTAAAAATATGTTAATCAGAATATCTTCAGCATTCCAAGGAGTGACCTCAAGTATTTTGGTTCTATATACAAACCTCTAATTCCTCCACTTTCTGTGTGGCATCTGATAATTGCTTTTCTAACTCCACTACAAAATAGAACAGAATGGTCAAAGAATATTGCTAGCGCTGGGAAATAATTATGAAATTTTTTACACAAGTTACATAATCAAACCACCAAAAATATGTGGGAAAATTGAATTTCACACATTTCAAGTGAACTGATGAGACTTAATTTTTTTCCTCAAAGTTTTTTCTAAATACTTTTACTCAATTTAAAGCAAACACATCGTTTACATGCATGTTCACATTGAGTATGAAAACTTCAAAATGCTAACAAGTGATTCTACTGTACATTTCATAGGTAGGTAACTAAAATTTTCAACACATCAGGAGTAGAAAACTTACAAGTCAGGAAAAGATAAATCAAATGTTAGGAGTTGATAACACGTGTAAGTCAATACACATATAAGGAGTAGATAACTTACACACAATTAATGGGATATACATATATCAGGGGTAGATAACATGGATAACTTACATGATTTCTACATATCAGGGGTAGATACTTACATGATTTTGCCATCGATTCTTCCTCCATTTCCTGAAGGTGTTCTCTCTCCTAAAAAAAATAATATAGAAAATTCTAAAACCAAAATTTATTCTTAACTTGTAAATAAAGAAAAATTATTAAAAAACAATCATAAGTACTTCTAAGTAATTTGTAAGTTTTGTTTGTTTGCTTGAAAACGTTGCATGAACAATACATGTACTAAATTAACTAAACTAAATCATCTTATTTGTCCAAAAAAAAAAACAAAAATAATACAAATTTGACATAGGTCATGCAATATGGAGTTTATGATGACATTTACGGTATATAGGAATTAAACTATTTGAAAAATGAGGAAAAAACTATCAAAATGTACACTGATAATTATTTCCAAGAGAATGTTTAAAAGAAATAATTTTGACTTAATTGAGAAACTTGAATACAAAAATATAGCATCACCCATAAATAATATTGTATACTAAGTTTTATAATTATTCTTTTTGGTTCAATTTAAAATGTACATTAGACTAAAAAATACATTTCCAAACTGTTTCAACAAAATCACAAAGATTATTGAATATATGCACTTATACAATATAAAATACAATAATCATTGCATAATATTACTTGTTGTAATATTAAAATCTTGTACATTTCTTAATATTTATAATTACCGGTCCATCATAATCATAATTCTGTATGATCCATTTCAAGAAAATGTGAAAATTTAATCACTTTTGTCATAAAAAATAATTCATTTTTCAAATTGGAAATCTTCTGTGTTACTACTTATATCATATAGCGTAAACATGATAAAGAGCATATTGAATTCTTATTTTTACACAAGATGCTAAGGGTTTATTTCATAAAACTTACTAGATGATATCAGATACTATTTTTTATGTCCGTCTCACTTTTTGACTATAAAATGAATGCTTTTGTATATATATGACCAAGCTCAAAAAGTGAGCTTGTTTCATGTTCATAGCCAAACATCAACCTATCAATGAACTGACGTGTTATATATTTAGATAGGACCTCATCCATCACTACTAACAGTAGAACTGAAGGAATTCAAATGAGAAGGCTCAATGCTAAATTAATTTTTTTTTTCCAAAGAATGTATTCAGGATAGATATGGATTAACATAAACCTTGAGATGATTGGCTGACCATCTGTAAATCTCGACCAGTGAGAAGCCTCCATGCAGTATGATACATACCCGAGATAGTTCCTCCTCGAGATCCTCGGCTCGCTCGATGGCCTCGGTTTTGAGCTCCGAGTCCTCCAGTAGCTGAGCGACCTCGATCATGTTGTCCACGTACGCGTGAACCTGAACCGAGAGTCGATCACTCTCCGTGTGTCGCAGTTTCTGTAACGACCCACAATATTACACTGATTACAACAATTAATGTACATGAAAGTCAGCCTAATTTTTTCTCTGCAGTGAAGATAATTTTTTTTATCAGTTTACAATGTCCATGAAAAAAAGGACATACAGTATAGCTATTTTCATTAGTACATTTATGAATATTCCTTTTATTTGTCAATGATACAAATTTTTTGAAATCTAATTCAATAACAAATATTTAAAAATGATACATGAATGTAAACTTAAACTGAGATAATAAACAACTTACATTTAAATAATCATCTAATCCAATCTGAGTGAATTCATATTGTAAATGTACACGAAAGTTCATATTTTCCACTGAATGTACCACAATATTAACAAACTGCATACATGCAACCTGGTAAAAGAGAGAGATTGAGAACTTCAGGTAAATATTAAGAAAGACAATTTGTCAAATAACTATGGTCTAACTTCAACATTAAAAATCTTCAAGTATACAATAAAATTAAAATATCTGAGCAAGTATTTGCCAGACGATACATTATTTTCGACAGTTATAGATATACGTACCATAAAGTCTATATGGAATTCTTCATAATTGCGAAAATAATCCATTAATGTTTCAAACCGATGCCTTTCCCCACAAACCTACAGGTAAAAAATAACAGGTAAGAAATTTTCGTTTCAAAATTACACAGTCATTGAACTTGATTTCTAGATGTGTTTTCAAAAAATTTCTTCTTAACTGTATTTAAATTTTGTTGCTACTGAAGCAAAAAAAGAATAGTTACTTCTTTAAAATTGTCGAAGGCTGAGAGGATGATTTCGTGTCCCCCGCTGACTAGACAGACGGCCGCTAAGAGTTCCAGCACCAGGGCTTTAGTCCTACAAGATATATATAATACATACACTATAACCGGGATAATACTGAATAAATTTGCAAATGTGAGGGCCAATTGTTACTCAACATTCTTTATATTTAAAGTAGCAATTTCGTAAAGAAACACACAAATGTACAAAATACTAAAAGAGACTCGGTGCTTTTAACACAACTCACCTGAGACTGTGGTGATTTAGACTCAGGGCTATACAGTTAATGGCGTGTCTATGAGCTATCACAAGGTTAAAACCATACTGAAAAAATAAGGATGAACATACATATTCTGTGAATTATGATTCACTTGTAATATTAAAGATACTCTTTGGAAAATATTGAACTAGCCTAATAAATGGTTCAAACCTGAAAGTTTTTAAGAACTCTGTACATGTATTAAAAATGATCAAATAAGATCTCAGATATGTGTCTGTGAATAAAAAACTTCACTTAACAACTAATATGATCTTGACAAGACTGGTTCACCGATTTATTACCCTAGAACTGTGAATTCTACGAAATCTACCTGATGGTTCATTATTGCCCGTAGACACATGATACAGACGTGGACGTCGTCCCTGGCCTCCCCCATGTTGAGTTTGGACATCTTGGTGTGGCGTGGGGACCCTATCGTGTTGGAACGCTTTAACTTCCTGGCTGGACTTTTGACTAGACCATCTAAACTGGTACTCTTCTCTTTGTTCAATAGCTGCTCTTTTCTACAAAGGCAGTACATGACACTCAGAACCTAACTGTTCTTCTCAATTTTATGTCTAGATTTTTAAGAATTTCAGTCAAGTTAAAATTATACTTTGAAAACATTTTTTTGTTTACATTTAAGGTACCAGCACTTCAGATATCTCAATATACTTTTTTGGGGCAATAATCAAAACCAAATATATATCCTCATGAAATTCTGCTTATATGGTATATAGAATTGTGAATCTTTGTAATTCAGAATGGTTACCTGAGTGAAGCTATTTTAGCTAATTCAAACATATATTCGTTTACAGTAAAACTTGTTTATAACGAATCACTGGGACCTGTGAAATAATTTTGCTACATCAGTAATTCGTTTAATTCATATAAGGAATTCATTAAATTTATATCGCTGGGGATCCAAGATAACTTTGCTGTATCCGTAAATTAGCAATACATGTATCCGTGTTTGTACTAAACAAGTTTTGCTGCAATATTTTTTGTAAAGCCTATCTTTAAACTCACCTCATGACCACCTGAGTATAAGACAGGTAATCCACCAGAACGTCGAGACCCTGGTTGTCCTCGCTCAGAAATTCTCTGACCCATCTACAACAGAATGATAAACATGTGATTGTCAACACAAACATGAAAAAATCTGCTACATAAGCTTCAGGGGGTGACAGTTTCACCAACACTGAACTTTTTACAAAATTTTTGTATGCTTTTATAATTTAAGGTTCAATGATACTCTGATAAGAGAGATAACTCTAACTGGTATAAATTACTATGATTCCTTTATAAAACCATCATGTTAAAAGGTCATTTATGCAAAATTTGCCCCGCAAGGTATGCTGAAGTTGTGTGCATTTTAATCATGAATTAGATTTCTTTTGGAAAAACATAAGCATTATTTATATATTTCATATGCGTGAGCAGAGGGATTCAGGAACCTTACTTAGCTCTGACCTTCCATTTACTTACTCTATGTGGTTCGTACGAAGCGAGATTTCTAAATCCCTCAGCACCTGGGTAGATGATATGTCATTCAGGTTTTTCTTTTTCTGAAAACAAGTAAAAAATCAGGGTCAATTAATATGAAGTTTACATAAAATATGGAAAGTGGTGGGGAAAAAACTACTTCTACTGCAGAAAAACCTCTTCCAAGGGGGATAAGCATGCTCTTAGCTTAATCAATGATTATAGGTGTAAAAAAATATTGAAACAAAAAAAAATTAACTTTATCTCGAAGAAAAATTAATCAAATATTACTGTAATTCTCATAAGTTTCTATACAAGTACAACATTTCAATATGAGCCTATGAAACTGTACAATTGTTATGAATGTATTATAATAGAATCAGCCTTTGTAATAGACATTCAATGTGATGCCTATATATAAATATCTAGCTGGCCTAAGTCTGTGGTCGCACAAAAAAGCCATAGCCCTGTGTTTATCCGGGGGGGAGGGGTGATCACGGTCTACAATCTACTTCTGGTACACCACAACACCGCCATGACAACTAAATCTGATGCTATATTTAGACACAAGGTCAGCCATTAGTGATTTTAGGCTATCATTCCATTGGCAGCAATTCAGTGCTCAGTGATTAGTTAGACATGTCACAAGATCATAGAAAACACTTACGTGAAAACACTGTAGAAATATATATATACATGTATAGTCTGTTATATTAATTCCGGTGTCACATGACATATAATTTAAAATTTAAAACAAGAGGCCCATGGGCCACATCGCTCACCTGAGCACTGTGGTTAGGAATAAAATAGAAATTGGTTTATTATTGAAAAGTTTAAATTCAAAAGTAAACCTTTGACTAGTTATGGCTTTACTATTCTTGAGAAGATGATTTTTAAAGAATTTTTCTATATATTTCTATGTAAAACTTTGGTTGGCCATTGTGGCCCCGCCCTATCCCCGGGGGTCATGATTTGTACAAACTTGAATCTACACTACCTGAGGATGCTTCCATATAAATAAGATCAATTATGGCTTTGTTATTCTTGAGAAGAAGATTTTTAAAGAATTTTCCATATATTTCTATGTAAATCTTTGGTCGGCCATTGTGGCCCCGCCCTACCCCCGGGGGTCATGATTTGAAAAAATTTGAATCTACACTACCCGAGGATGCTTCCATATAAATATGATCAATTATGGCTTTGTTATTCTTGAGAAGAAGATTTTTAAAGAATTTTCCTATATATTTCTATGTAAAACTTTGGTCTGCCATTGTGGCCCCGCCCTACCCCCGGGGGTCATGATTTGAACAAATTTGAATCTACACTACCTGAGGATGTTTCCCCATAAGTTTCATCTTTCCTGGCACAGTGGTTCTCGAGAAGAAAATTTTTAAAACATACCACCAAATTTTCATTAATTCCCAATTATCTCCCCTTGAATGAGGGTGTGGCCCTTCATTTGAACAAACTTGAATCCCCTTGACCCAAGGATACTTTGTGGCAAGTTTGGTTGAAATTGGCCCAAGGGTTTTTGAGAAGAAGTCGAAAATGTGAAAAGTTTACAGACAGACAGACGGATGCCGGACAAAATGTGATCAGAAAAGCTCACTTGAGCCTTCGGCTCAGGTGAGCTAAAAATGATTAAACATTTTACGGGGCAATTTAAACTTGTTATCAAATAATCTATACATTTTACATAAGAGATTCAGAACGATATTATATAGTAATTATGTGACAAAACAAGCCGAAGTTTTTAATTTCTTTATATGCTGCAACCTTTGTCAATTTTAGCATTCTTCATTGTGTACATTGTTGAATACGCTTATTATAACATGAGTTATATCATATTAATTGATATAATGCATGAGTATGGAGTACAGATATTATATTGATCTAGAATGAATGAATTCTCCTACAGGTGATCGAATGAAATGCAGTGGGTACATATTAAATTGTTATTATTCCGCAGCAAAAGTGGGCATCAAATAATACAGACTTCCATAACTTTTATAGATATAGAATGCTCTCCCCAAAAATTCAGCTTAACAAAAACAAAAATAGTGTGATACCTAAACAGCGAAACAAAAACCTTAGATAGGGCCGAATTTAAAATAATGTTTGCTTGCCTTCTCCCGAATCAAGGCAAAATTGTAGGGTCGGTACCATAGGTACGTTGGAAAATATTTTTTCAACAAAATTTCAATGTTTGTTGACAGGATAATAGAAATAAAAAGAAAAAAATATTGTGTCCTGGAATGTACAAAAAAAGTTGAGTGGGGCCATTTTTATCCAGTTGGTCGAGAGAAGGCAACCAAACAATGTTTTAAAGATGGCCTCAGACATATATATGTTGTTAACATGTCATTTAATATATATGAACACTACATGCACAATGAACATTAGATCAGCAAATAAGGATAGGACATAAACTTAAAATAAAAATAAAACAATGAAAGCAATTAAAGAGGCAACAAAAATCATAATGTGATAAAAATAAAATGTCCAACACAACAGCTAACAGGTACAAAGATTTCCACGATTTCCGTTATTGATATAAAGGTCTGGAAAACAATGCATACATTGTAACTTACGTCCGGATAGACACACGCTCCCATTAGCTAAATCAAATGTAAGTCAGAATTACTTCCCCTTACTTCACTAAATCAAATGTAAGTCAGAATTACTTCCCTTTCTTCTGTTTATTCAATTTGATGAAACTTGTCAATGTACATCTTAAATACGTACAGAAGAGTTTTAACCTTCATCACTTATGCTACGAAAGAAATACAATTTACAATATAATCTACAATACACCTGATAGTTTCCTTAAAAACAATTTTTTATGCATTGTCAATACTACGAAAGAAATACAATTTACAATATAATCTACAATACACCTGATAGTTTCCTTAAAAACAATTTTTCCTGCATTGTCACCAGCTGCAAGTTTTTGTGCCATGTCTGTGAAAAACCTTTGTTTTGTAACAATTCAATCACCATGATCACAGAACAGAGATTTCTGTGACTGATGAGAAAAAATGTTGCTGTTTATCTGAAATTGGACAAAAATGATTATCGATTCCCTTGCAACAGAGTTTAAGGGGAAATAGTAACCACACTTGAGGGCACATGTGATGATGAGGGGTTGGGGTGGGGGTCCTTATTGGGAAAGAAAAGTGATGTAATTTGCATTCGGATCGATGTCAAATGCTTCCTTGATTTATATCGATCTATATGCTTTTTGCAAGGGATGCCTCTGAAACTCTTAAGAATGTTAAAATAGGCCAACTTAATTCCTTGGACCCTCCTGCTAATGTAACATACTAACATAAATGGATAATGCAAAATTTTAAACACTTTCCTCTGTCTATCTGTATAAAAAATTTAGAGGCTAAATTTAAGTCTATATAACCTTAGGCAACTTAAGGAAATTTGAATTGTCATTTCTGAATCATGACCATGATGACCTGCTGCAATTGCCCTTCTGGTCTGCTGAGTTCAAAATGGTTGTTTTAAACAAGGGGAAAACATGTACATAAGAAAAGTAAGGGCACTTTAGAACAAGCCTTATTTCCTTTTTAACAGGTGATTGTATAAGTGTTTGATAGTTGATTGTGGAAGACATAACATCCTGTCTACATAATACCCCCCTCAAAATTTTTTTAAAGATATTGATATAGATACAAAACGTCTGCTCTTCAACTTTTTTCTTTGACTTAATGGATGAAGCTTAACCTAGAAAAACTACCAAAAAATTTTTATTAATAAATTTATCACTTCAATGAATTTCTTATGAATGCCCCTCTGTTAATGGCTAGTCAATTTGGACAGTGACATATTCAACATACATATTCTTCAACCTAAAAATAACTGACAAAGAAACATAATTCAGGATCGTAAACTTCAGTAACACAGATTTATCATGCAAAACACCATCTCTGAGAAGCTGGGGAAAAAAATCACAAAATAAAATTGATACGTCTGCAACAGCACGATGGTACAGAAAAGTTACAACAATGCCTCGTAACTAAAAAAACACAGTAAGTTAAGCGTGAGATGGAAAGTTACGATGACCTACTGCGTCTAATCCACACTGCAGGGGGAAGGCCACCAGGTGAAGGGCTACGCAGGTATCGTGCTGAAATAAAGGTGGGTCGGAGACATAAGACATGGGCTGAGACAAGGAGAGGTACCATGGAATCATCTTAATTTCTGGGGGGTCTATCTTACTTATTTTATTTATTACTTATGTATTATTACTTATCAATTTTGTGGGTGCATACTGTTCATTCAATGAATCAATATGCTTACAAAATTAAGGTTTGAGGGTATGTAAATTCTTGGTGTTTTGGGTGACCCACCAAATTCATCAACATTGGTCTCCCCCGCAAACATAAATAATGATTCCATTGTACCTAAGAACAGAAAATCTACAGCAAGACGCAGTGTTCAAAGTTAGCCATCAATGGGTGAGCTCAAAAACTCACACTGAAAATGTGGCTTTACAAATGAAAGATTTCTGAAAAATCAGCAAAATTTGTCATATTTGATCTATAATAATCTTTCAAGATACTATGTCTATCGATCTGATTGGCTGAAAGACTGTCAACCACAGATTTAAATTCTGATGTCGCCCTATAAATACTTCAAATACTTCCTCAATAGAGTTGTAAACTTGAGACTTTAAATCATTTATAGAAAACACTTCTGTACAATATAAACTCTCCAGCACTTGAAAAATGAAGTTAATTTTTTGAAAAAGTAGCTACTTGTAAATGCATGACAATTCAGCAGCAATGAGTGTACTCTCCCGAAGCTTTAACGAGGCTGGGGGGTGGCAGCCATTTTTAGACTATTTCTATCTCCTTTACAAGGAGAGCGTCATATAAAGATATAGAAAATGATCAAAATTTAAAACTAAAATTTATGAATTTTTTCTTTGTCAAATGAATGTTGACAGCTTAAGATACCATATCTAAAAAAATAAGTTATATCTGGTGGTTACTTTGTGGTTAAATTGTTGACCCCCCAGCCTCCTTAAGGCTACATAATAATTATAGAACTGAGCCATACTAGTATCTAGTAAAAGTAATAATGACATGGTGAAATAGACAGGATATAAATTCTGTATGTCACAATGACTTTGAATAAAACCACTCTTCATCACGTCTATGATGAGTACAATTGCAAAGAAATCTTAAATTGAGGGGCCATCTTAGATTTAGTTATAAATGTACCCTTAAAAATGAAAAAAAAAATATACAAAGAAGTATTTTCTATGACATATATGTTATAACTTATAACATATGAAATTATATAAAAAAAAAATACAAGTAATGAGTACCAGGTATATTCATATTTTCAAACAATACATATATACAAATTTCTAAAAATTTATGCATGTTATATAAGTAAAAATATGTTTCAGGGACTGTATGTACACAAGTTTTTATGGCATTTCATTTCTTTTTCAGTATAAACATACATGTGTGTATTTTTGTACATTTATACAGGTATACATGACCTCTACATTATACCTCCACATTTTTTCGACAGCACAGCGGACTGCCTAACTGTCCATCATCCTAAGAAAAATCCGTACATTTAACAGAAGACAAAAAAAGTTAATAAATCTTCGTTAATGTTAGGTAACCAATAAGGCACTCACCACTCGCGACCCCCGGCTGTTACGAGGATCTAGATAGGTCCGCAGTCTGTCCAGGTAAACGTGAGGGGGGTCTTTAGCATGGACCCGCTCCTACAACATAAAAACAAAGGTCACAGTCTTCGCGAAAAAGAAAAATCGCCACAGGACATTCGGACAGACAGTTAACACAATTTCACAGGACCAAACGAATTTTCACCGGTCCAAAACTTTTTCATATACCGGTAGTGATCATAACGATGTTTTTTCAAAGCATTTGAATCAGTAAACATGTATTAAGCTTAAAAAAATATATATGTTTGTTTCCTGTAACATTCCCAATAAAATAAGGGTCGGTAGGTCGGAAATTCTTTTTTTTTTCCTTTTTTTTTTTTGCTTATGTATGGCCAAACATCCCTGGACTGAATATCAGGTGTCATATTTCCAGTGGACACCCAACATGGCATCCAAAATGGCTGCCTAGCGGCAGAAAACGAACTTCGCAAAGTTGTAGGGGGAAACTGTTGTTACAATAATGATTACTCTTTATATTTAAGGTAATTTGTAAACTAGATTGACATATTTTATGTCTCAAGTTATTAAAAGCTACAAGTTAATTTTTTTTTTTAAATAAATGGAATCGGCTGATTGATCAAACGCAGTTTTGCCAATTGTCAGAAGAAAAAAAATCCACTCGGGATAATTTGAATGGGTCGGTCGGGTTACAGGAAACAAACATAATTTTTTTTAGTAGGTTTTAAAACAATCACAGTCAACAAAGACAATATGTATTTAAAAGTGTGTTTTGGTATAAGATTAAGCGTCTATATGATGAAAAAGAAATATAAAATTTAAAATCCAACCAAAACGAACCTCGGACAAACGGACCGATTTTACTAGATAGTGCATCGGACCAATCAGATTTTCACCTGTTGTGTCCGACGGACCGGTGCTTTTGGGATAGACTGAGGTCATCTACTGTTAGGAAGCTAATTTCAACAAATCTTACTTATAAGTAAAGCAAATCCTTTTTTTTCTAGTTCCATGCAAAGTGAATCCCTAAATGCATCATCCATACAAGGCTGGTTAAGGTATATCAATATCCAAGAAAGTTTAAAGTTTAAGTAGGACTTCTGATTATTTGAGAATTATACCAGGAAATTAACCCTAGTCACTTATGTTGAAAAAATAGGTCAGATCAGAAAAGCAAATCTTTAAACCATCCCCAGATGCATCATACTTGCAATTTTGGTCAAAATAGAACTTACAGATTCTTGGGAATGTACTTGCTTTTAAAATTTTAACTGGACACATTCCCCTGACCTGACATCTGAAGATGAAGGCCGGTACAGGAGAAGCTCATATCAACTTTGTTATTGTGCACTTAAAAGTCAGACATCAATTAAATGATACATATATAATTTAATTTCACTTGTATCAAGCAATTTCATTGGCTGAATCATTCAGAGGAACATATAATATATTGTATAACATAACTTGCCTACGTCACAATGAGTTACGTCAAAAACGTATTACTCCGCTTGACGTTACTTTTAAAATAATGCTCAATTTGAAGCCTTATTCTGGAGGAAAAATTGTCTTATTGTCTACACTGAAATTAAATTATAAGGAATGAAGCTTATTTCAACTTATGTTATACGATATAACAAAACTTGGGGCAGTTTACTCTTTTTTATAAGCGTAAACTTTCCCAAGTTATGTTATATCGTATAGCATAAGTTGAAATTAGCTTCATTCCTTAAATATTAAGCAAATTAAAATATATATCTGAACTTATACAGTCTGCATCATAATAATTAACAAAAATTATATTGAAAATATCTTCTCAGCCAAACAAAAACATCTTTTGAGATGTTCCCCCAGGAAGTGCTTCTCTAAATATTTATACTGTGTGACCCCTGGCTGTCTGAGCAAGAGATTGAAGCAAAAAGGCTCCGGCTATTTACATGTATACATTAATAGTCAATGGTCGGGGTCCAGCCAAACGGATTTCGTATTATTCTTTCAAGATACATTTCTGATCAATAAATATAAATATTTTGAACACTTCAAGATATCTCGACATGCCAATCATGCAGTTTGTCACTGCAGGTACCTATATAACCTTTTGACCTATAATCATTTCATTCTTACTCCTACATAAATTTTATAAACTTTTAAACTTCCAGTTTTTCACAATTAATTCAAACTTTGTGGTTAATCATTTAAGGTGTGCCTACAACATGAATGGATCATTTTTTTGAAATTATTAATCTCAAAGTATTCCCTGATCATTTTTTTGAAAAATAAATAATTTGATTTTGTCAAAATCCTCATACAGTAAAAATAAATTTTACAGTGACCTAAATTCTTCATTTTATATTGACATTAAATTCCATGGACCCAGTAATTTGTGGGTAGCTATTTGCTGTTCCCCACTGTGTTGGATGTAAGACAGGGTAATACATCACGTCCCCTGATTCTTATCAGAATGGTATATTATCTCCCGATTTCTACAGGTTCACTGCCTTCTAAAACACCTGGTCTGACCTGATATATACAGGATACATAAAGGTATCACCCGACACATTTGTTAACATAACATGGGCCTATAGAGCTAGGTGTGATAAATTGTTCTGATACTGCCTGATCTAATGGGACCCCATTATATACATCATTAAGTCAAATATTTCAAATATGTGTGACATATTTCTGTTATCTTCATTATAAGAAAAATATGACATTGTTTAATTTAGATGTAGTATAAAATCCTACTGTCAAAAAGTTGTGTTTGGAATTGACTGATGAATATTACATGAGACTGACATTAAAACACATTCCTGACACACTCAGCAGTGAGGGGAGGAATTGTCATCCCCCGTTCTAACTCCAAAAATAATCACATCAACCGAGTCAACAATAAGAAGTATGTATATTCATATATACAGGCTTGAATTAGAGGGGAGCTATAGACCGTGAAGAGTCTGGGTATACTGCTAATGTCCCTAGCAGGTCAAGGACAGGGGTCAGCAAGGGGTGGGGGGCATCAATTACAACTCATTTCAAACAGAAAATCTTTATATAAAATGATATTGCTACTAGTGTATGCATGCTGATCATGTTAATCTACTGGTTAGATATCATGAATGTTCATTTTGGGTGGATTCTAAATTTAGGAAATATTAGCTAAATGGAGACCATACATCTTAAGATCTTATATCCTTAAAACTATTTCAAAGTTACAATGAGCTTCAAGGAAGAAGGATCTCTACATTATCACAAGAAGGAATCTGCCATCACGAGAGATTATGTATTTCATTCTCTAAGGGGTGTGTCAAATAACTGACAATAGAACAGGCAAGGGAAGGAAAGGAGGGTGGGGTGGGCGAAGTACAAATTCTCACTAAAATTTTAACATTTAACATTAAATTGTACTGTAACAAGCAAATATTGATTGTTGCAGTAAATCTGCAGCCTCCCTTCTCCTTGTCACATTTAATTGACAGTATAATTCTTGTCTGCCAGACTTGGTCCACCTTTCACAATATGTCCCCCCAAAACAATGAAAATCAATAGGGAATATTTGTATTAACTCAAACAATTTAATTAAGAGTGATAAATGAGTCGCTCTGTGTACCATTCTCTCCTTATCTTGGGCCCTCAGTGCATAATCGCAAACAAATCTTGGGGAAAAATCACTACTAAGCACTGCTTCTTGCTGCACAATAATTCACATTGTATTTGGTCTGTGCCGTGTTTTATGATTTCCATCAATTTTTTCCTCCAGGCTGCATATCACACTGCACCATAGTAAGCCCCGCAGCAGAGGAATGAGTTAACACACTCTTAATTGTTTATCAGGGTCCATTTTTTAAAGTTTTGATGCTGAGCTGCAAGATTAGCTCCAACAGTTACTGGATTTTTTCATTATAATATTGAGAAAACACTCAGCCTCCCCTTCCCTTTCTATTCTCTCCGAGTGTCTGTCCTGAGATTCACAGTTAATTTTTGAATTAACTCAGCCCCCCTCCCCCTTTTCATTCTTTCTGAGTCAATAACTTATTGGAATCTTTCATCATTTATTTATTGAGAATACACTCAGCCCCCCCCCCCCTCTCCCCTTTCCATTCTCTCTGAGTGTCTGGCCTGAGATTCAAAGTAACTTATTGGATTTTTCATTATTTCTTTACTTAGAATACACTCTCCCCCTACCCTTTTTCATTCTCTCTGAGTTTCTGAGATTCACATTTCTGGGGTGAATCATAATTCCAAATGAAGGATCTAATATAACAGGAAGATGATAAATACACATGTTCAGACCCAGAACTGGGCTCTCTTCAAGAGCTCCACATGATTTTTAAATTATCTTACTTAATTACGCATACAACATTAGTGTAGGGGTCATCAGTGCTGAATGATTCAGTCTGCTATTGAAGTCAGAGCATCTGTTAGAAAGGTGTAACCTACAGGAACACAATGTCTGTGTGTCCTTCAAATCTCAGAAAATACACTTTTTTTTCAATTACTTCAATTTTTGGGTTTATTAAATTGCATGCATCTACTAGGCCTTTATTAATAACATATTCTTAATATTGCTATATCTATATAAAAGTTGAAATTGTTGCACTCCCTCCTTTTAACACAACTACTAAAAATTCACAAGAATTTTATTTTATACAGAGACTGAGAGAGTGTATATCTCGGGCCATTGATTATATTTTTTCTTTTGACAAAATCTTGGACACTCAGGTGTTAGATTTCATAGATGTAGCGTGATCCTCCTAAATATCTCACATCTCAGATCCTACAGGAATAATTCCCTGACACTGGCTAAATCTTTACTGTGTTACAGCAGGCAAATTCTTAATTTGTTACAACATGCAAACTCTTCCTCGACTTCTCTCATGTATACCACAGATGTTCTACTCTTGTTTCACTGAGTGAGTAGACAGCTATTACATGTTATAATAGTAATTACATCCAATCACTTCTGTGTTAAACACTGTAATGAGTAACTCAGGAAAACTCCTCTGTTAATTTATATGTACCACAATATACAAAGATAATAGTGTGTAATGGGTGCCCAATAACAATGGAGCCAGGGAGAGCAGCTTCTCAGAGCCAGACAATCTGTTACTGAATCTAACATCTGTCACTTCTACATGTTCTAGATGCTTCATATTAACTGGATATCTGTGATGTGCAATGACTTGTATTCTGTTACAATTACCCCCCAATACATTTCATTATAAGAGGGCATAACTTAGCATCTATCAACAAGATCTAGCCACTTAGTATTTCTCCTCTGTACAGGAATTATTGTCGATCTGGTATTTAAGAAATGCTTATAAACTCCCGAACATTAACTCAATGTCTAGTAATCAACCATGGATTCCCACAGATTACAAGTTATAGGAATGTTTTTGATTTTTGTTTACCGTGGGGTCAAGGTCGCGTCATACTCCCCCCTATGGAGGTTATCTCATCGTTTTATACTGCCCCATACGGAAAAAAAGGGCAAACAAACTACTATAACAAATTACTAACAAACCACTATGGTTTGAAAGTAGTTTAATAGTATAGCAAATCACATGCAAATGAGCTAACAAACTATACTCTAACAAACTACTATCAAACCACTCTTAACAAACTACTATCAAACCACTCTAACAAACTACTATCAAACCACTCTAACAAACTACTATCAAACCACTGTAACAAGCTACTATCAAACCACTCTAACAAACTACTATCAAACCACTCTAACAAACTATTATCAAACCACTCTAACAAACTACTAACAAATCACTGGGAACAAATCCATCACCAAAACACTGTAGATTTGAATTTTCCTTTACAAATCCAAAGTCTTAATTGAAAACACCTAAAACAATCACATTTTGAAATATTCAACAAGTCTTGTTTTAGGGTATTTAAATTCCAGGATTCACAAGTTTAGCCATTAATGCAAGTGCAACATCCAACATGTTTTCTTTTGTTTAGGAGATGCAATTCCAAGTCAATGTCCATGTACTTATCACATATTCTCCTTCATGTTGTGTACATCTTCATAGTATTTTTTCACCAAAAAATGTTCTTCAAGCTGATGATCAACATTTAAATATTTCCCTGCTTCCTCTGGCATGGAAAAAGCTGCAATTTTTCCTTGTTTCTGACCTCATTGCAACTTTGAAAGACATCTTTATTGTCTTATTTTCAAGTATACTTCCCATAATCCAATGCATAACTGATCTAAACTAGGATAGGAATTATAGGTCAATCTGAAAATGAATAAAAATCCAAAGCTAGTAAAAAGCATATGCATCCACATTCACAGAAGGTTAATTATTTCATGACATGCATTAAATACCTCTTCTGTATCCAGATCCATCTTTTAATAATGTTAATTGCTGCTTTTTCCAGTCAGGGATCATATACGTAGAATGATACTAACAATTTGAATGTCCCTTCACCAGTTCCTTTGTTTCTGACCTGCTTGGTGGTTTGAAAATTGGCGCAAATAGCTATAACACCGGATGTAAAGAGATAAGCTGTTCTTGGAAACTTCAACAATTCTAGATAATTCAACCCTAAACACATCTGTAAAGTAATTTCCCATGTGGGATGCAAATGTATACTAATAAAACACTGTTGCAAGATCAAGTCTAACAAACTATAAAGAAATCACAATCACCAGCATGTAACAAACCACTGCAGCTATTTTTAGAAAAAGTGGTTTGTTATGATGCTATACTATCAAACTACTTTAACAAACCACAAAAGTATAGTTTGTTGGTAGTTTGTTGATGGTTTGAAAGTAGTTTGTTAAAAATCTTTTCCGTTTGGGGCATGTATACGTACCATGATGTATACAGATGCTATTTTTGGAAATCTAAAGTTTAAGATTTAAAAGATTACATGTGAAATGCATAAACAGTTTATGTATACACAGGCTAGATGAATTTTCAATTAACTCTCAAAATGAATTTCAAAGCACACTGAAAATGATTTTTGATGATTAATTTATGCAATAAAAACACAATAAGGTCAAGATCAAAGGAAAGGTCAAGGTTAAAATAAATCCTGATGCAGTTTGAATTGCTCTTATTAATATTAGGTGAGTATAGTTATGAAGACTGATGAAAAACATCTTGAATCATTTAGTGAATGATTTCTTTTTAAAACTCCCCATTTTTTCATCTGCTCTCCCCCTCCCCAAAAAAGAAAAGAAAAGGGGTTTCCAACTCATACAGTTTTAATTGCATGCTCAGCAATCTATTTTCACTTTTTTTGACAGTAATTTTTTTAGGAATATTAAATGAAGATTTCCAGATGGGAGAAAACAATACAGGATCTGGCCTACTCCCTGTAAGCTTTATACTTTAGTGTCAGGCAGCCTTTATCCCTCCCACAGCAAAGTATCAGAATCCAATCCATTCTGTTTTAATGTGCAATAAATTACTGTAAGAGCTAGTATAGGTCTCAAATTAAGATAACAAGAAATGGATGTAAAATCTTGGGTTTTTTGGTTCAGCATCTCGCACACCATGAAAACTGACTCAGTTTCTCATAATGCTTTAATTACGTAATCAGAATTTAAGTGTATCTATCTTGAATTCAATTTTTTTGTAACTGTAATTTTTTTTCTGTAGCAGCTTTATTTGTTTAAATCCTGCCCCAAACAGCATGCCAGGTCTGCCAAGAACCCATTTCCTTCTGTAAAACGTTGAAATTTACTCACTTTAATAGCCCTCTCTCTCAGAACACTTTCAGAAGAGTTCATTATACTCTACAAGTTCATGCATTTTGAAGTCAAAATGTATGTGGTGTATGCTTCCCATGTATCTATATATATACTTTCAATCATGATAAATATTGTAGTATTAATGTGAGTATTGCATAAATTGAAGAGATCTCTTCAAATCCAGGATTAATATAATAATAAAATGGCTCCAAACCAGGAATTATGCTTTTATTTTGAATTACACAACCTGATGTTTTAAATTAATTTTAGCTTCAAGCCCAGGCTATCGTGAACAAGATCATTTGTTTTTATTTAAAAATGAAAAGTAAGAGCAATAGTCCACAACTAAATCATCTGGATTTACTGGTAGAATTTTCTTGTTTCCACAGCCTATTCAACTCATGGAACCCAAGAAAGGGTATCCCCCTGCCAAAAAGTTAAAATTTCATATTCTATAACTGTGAACAAGGTGAAATCTTTCAATCACTCTTAGCTATCATGTCGATTCAGTAGAGTTATCTGCCAGTCCTTACCTGATCACAAATCAAGTCCCATTTCTTCTCATCGTCGTAACCCTTCAGTACTTTAGCCTTGTCTGGGGGCAGGTCCATAGAGGCCTACAAAAAATGTAAACATTATATAGGGGTCCACAGAGGCATAAAACACAATTAATAGTATTATATAGAGACACGTACAATACATAAAAGGTCCACAGAGGCCTAAAACACAAACAGTATTTTAATATAGAGACACAATATAATACACAGATCCATAAAGGCCTACAAAAAACACAGAGTTTTATTTAGAGACACAATAAAACAGGTCCATAGAGGCCTACAAAATATGTACTAATATATTATATAGGCATCCATAGGGCCTAGAGGCCTAAAAACACAAAACATAATATATAGAGATACAATATAAAAGCAGTCTTCGAAATAACCAGTGTTTTTCTTGCCCGGGACCTGGTAAACACATGTGAAAAAATTACATGCCCGAAGGGCATGTGTGAATTTTCTTTTGATTCACGATGTTAACTTGCTATTTCTTCTGTCGTACCCCAGTTGTTCGCATAAACTTGCTATGTAATGTCTTAAGATTGCCAGTCTACATTCGTCTTACGTTACAATATCGGTACGACCTGTCAAATGATTGTCAATCGTAATCATTAAAGTGTTTAATTTAACCAATTTGTTTTCTCTCTGTTTCTTGCTAGATTACGATATGTTTATTGATACCACGTGCAGTGGACTGCTGTCATGATGATCATGATCCTATTTCTGAAATTCAGTTCAGCTATACCAACCAACAAACGACCAGCATGCGAGTCAAAAGTTTTGAACAAAAACACATATGAAAATGACAGACAGGAAGGCCATGGTTGATTTAAAACTCTAAAAACAATTTAAACTTAAGATTGGGAGAATTTAAAAACAAAAGCACTGTCCTTATAGTTACTATAAAAACCTTTTTTTTTTCTTTTTTTTTTTGCACAAACATATCTGCTATATGAATGAATTTTGAGTAGGGCATGTACAAATTTCAATGGGCCTAAAAAACACAAAGGGCATGTATATAAAGAATTGATGAAGACTGTAAAAGGTCCATAGCATCGTTTCAAGCCAAGGTTCGCAGTCTGCATATAGTTCCCTCCTCCCAGAATGGCAGAGGTTCATACATTTTGGCCGTGATTTGTGACAATGGGTCCATAGAGGCCAAAAAATGTTATTATAGAGACATTGTACAATAGAACTGGCTTATTTCTTAGAGGGACAATATAGGGACCTAGGGGGCACTTATAGGGGCTGAGGTGATAAATACAGGTTATACAGTACATGTACTTCATTTTGCGGAAAAAAGCCTTAATTCACACATACATCCCTCATTCAGTCTACACTTATTTGTAAATTTAGCAAAGGAAAAAATTGATTTCTTCAAAAGGGGTGATACTAGATGCAGTAGTACATTGTACCTTGGCTTTTCATGACATTGCCATAAAAATTAAACGGTAATACTTTTACAAACTTGTCAAATCAAACATATTATATATCCTCTCTGTACAAACAAATAAATCTACACATTGTACAGGGAAGTAACAAGTTGATTTCAACAAAATCAAATAAAGCCCATTAAAAGCTTTAAATGCTGGAAATAGTTTGTGTGAGAAACTAATTGTATGAACATACAGAGTACATGTATAAAGGTATATATTTAGATAGTTCTAAGTAGTAGTACTTCTATATCCACATATTGACCCAGTAGTGATGTCTACGCTGAAAGAATAAAGAAATGGTTATCTTAATAAAATCATCCTTCTGATTCCAAATTTACTAACTTCCCCCAAAATATTATAATGTAAACATCAGCAGGAAAAAAGTGTTAAGACTTTAGGCGGGGCTTCATTTAACAAAATATCTACTCTTGTCGGATAACACACACAGCGGGTTTAGAGAAATCTGGCAGAAACACCACGATTCTAACACTGGGACGTACACAGAACGCATGTCTAACAATCAGTGTTACATGGAGCTAAAGAAAATAGATCACCACTTCATAATTCAAAACGGTGATAGAGACGACTTAGACATGTTAGAAGAATATCTGTATGCACTGAAAAGCATCAAGTTAATGTTTCATCTGAAGGTTATAATAAACTTTCTCCTAATGTGAATAAAGATTTCAATATTTATTTGACATGGAAGATGTTCAAATATTACAGCATAGGTACATACTGCCCTCAAAACACCACTGAACTACTGTAAAAGCAGAAATTATATTCAATGGGGATTTGATTTGTTACTTCGTTGTTAATGATAAGTAATAACTAAATTGCACTTGACTTTATATTATTGAATAGTCTACAGTCTACATTAAAACAATTAATTAAATGCTCATGAAATCTTTTTAGATGACAAATCGGCAAACATTGCCTATAATTTATAGTAATTAGCTATTATAACTCAGGAATCATAGAGTTTATAATTAAAAATTTGGGGTGAAATGATACTGCCTCCCAGCCTACAGTTCGATATGTATGGTACAATTTTGTCTTGTACAGTATAGTAAATGAGGGATTCCATCCATGTGTAATTATGTACATCTAGCATGTCTAATGTAATTGTGTACATCTAGTTATGTAGGAGCTGACTACCATTGATAGCCTTATGGTTCACACATTCAGCTGTTAAAGTAATTACTGAAGTCAAGAAAAACCATGGCAGTGTTTCAAGCCTTCCTGTAACAGTTGGCAATACTACACTTGTACCAGTTGTAACGGGCTGACTGAAGTCAGTGTATCTGTCACTCCAGAGTCTATCAACTCTAACCCTGTCTAACCATGCTAAATGTAGTTCTGTAAGTAATAATTACAGCAGTATTGGAGGGACCTTGTAATGTGATCTCTAAAACATGTAATGGTAGACCAAGTGTTATAAGTATGTATGTATTCCTGACCTAATTCTAAGAGATTCCTTTTTGTTCCACAAACACCTTGGTTTCAGCCTCTTGTCTCATTCACAAATTGTTCTTCAATTTTACTACAGGACCTTACTTGAGATAGAAAGATCAAGTCTTGGACAAGATGATTACTTAAGCTTGAACAAGGCAAGGAAAAGAAGACATAAACATGATGAACACAAATGGCAATAACGCAATACCAAAAAGACAGTTTTGTGTTGAAATGTTTATTGATACTAGTTACCTATCAATTAAAATTGGGCACACATCGGTAAATTTAGAAATTTCATTTATTTTTAGGTGAGATTATTATTTAAGGTAAAGTGGCCATGATTAAATAACAAGGAATTTCCTGTGTTAATTAATGAATGTGTGGACAGGTTTGGTGGCAGCGAGTTCTAGACATTGGTCACCTTCAGATGGAGCTGACTGACTGAGGAATGCTGGGTAATTGTCGCGGAGCAATTATTGTCGCGTTGTTTACTGTCATTACACTGGAGTCCAAGCTGTCAATCATTGCATCACTATACATCCTACAATCACATTATTTGTTTGACCTTTATGAGGTCATACCAGGTTAATAAGGTCAATCTAGGAGTGGCCCCCTGATCCACAAATCAAAACAATCGTGATTATGACAGATCTATATTTATACATACACAATTATTTCATTTGTAAGAGCTAATGAGTAAATGACTTATGTACTTAAGATGACCCCTTAATGTAAATTTCATTCTTTATTCACAAACTTGTCTTAATTCTTCATATCCTGGCTCTATATTTAGAAGTAATGTAATATGTAAATATTTAAATGCACATGTATATGTGTGAAGATAAGTGAAAATTCATATTTTAAACTTCTGATAAATATTGGAGAAAAAAATGAAAAGAAACATCATCATGTCCTGTCAAGGTCTCATATTTTATATTTCCTTATTTTCAGATATTTTTCTGTACAGATATCTATGAAGTGTGAAAAAATCATACCCATGTAACATATTTTCTCTTGAATATTTAATAAATCTTTCCTGTATATTTTTTTACTTTTTACTTTTTTAAGATAACCAAATGATATTTACAAAATCCCCATAATTTCTGTAAATTACAAACTTTCTATTTGTGCTGGCACTGCATATGAAACAAGACATATACAGCTAATGTTCATTCAGACTTTAACCCCTAACTGACATAAGGATGTTTTAAGACTAAATGGTTTTAGACATGCTGCCATTTTCTTCCAACAACAAGGTGTAGTGCCAGGAGAATAACCTTATTACAGGGTTACAGTTACTTACACCTGTCTGCACTGTACCGGTAGTTACTCTGGAGGTATTCTGGAATACTCCTTACTAGTGAGAGTATCTACACATGTCACATGTATGTACTGTAAGATCACTAAATTTTCACGACACCTTATTTTCGCGAGATAGTCATTGACTCTTGATTAGTGAGACAAAATTTTCACGAATTGTGGTTATTGCTCTATATAATCTTAAGGAATACTATTATACGCAAGAATTTACTTTTGGCGAGCACACTGTCTCACGTAATTAAGCGAAAATAAAGTTTTTGTGAATAAAAAGTGATTTACAGTATAATTACACTTTCAATATTACACATTAAATGCATGCTTAATTCAGGCCCTGTACCAATTTGAATAATTTTAAAAGAATAAGAGGCACATTTTGAAATTACTGATGGCACATGTTATCATTGTTGGCTTATTTTCTGAGAACTATGACCCTTTTTTTCATTTGAAACAGTCAACTCTTCCAACTGGACCTGCATGTAATACATGTAATAGATAGTGAGTCCTGTGAAATAAAAGTGACAAGCTTCATATATGATGGTTGATAATTCTATCTCTCTATGTGTCCTGCTGAAAAGAACTTTTTCAAAGAAATAAAATAAACCAGATGTAGGTACATATAGAAGGAAGCGGTCACAGAATCCAGACAGAATTCTAGCTTGAATTGTTAGAGTTGTTGGTGCATCTCATAATTAAATATTTGCAACACTCTGGGAACAAGCACCTGCAAAGAAGGAGAGATGAAATTCAACTTCATCAAGCAATCACGCTAATTACTCCTCTCATGGAATGGCTCTGCTAGGATTACTGTGTTATTTCTGTACTCAGCTGGATCTATATTCAATATTTCTGCTATAATTTACATACATTGTGTGTCACAGAGAACCTGTGATACAATACACCAAACTGTTGTTTACCCATGACCCTGAACTTACCAGTACTTTAGTGATTGACCCCTGACCCTGAGTGAACTTACCAGTACTTTAGTGAACCTCTTCTCCAGTTCATGGGGGTCGGGCATGGGTAGACGCATCGGCATGGCTACTGATGTCCTGAGATCGAATCCTCTGTGATTATTGTGCATGCTTTCACCATTACCCATTTCTACCATAGGTGTGATGCGGTCTAGCTCCTCGCCACTCTGACTTTCGTCAAAATGGTCCGAGCTCTCGGTCGATCTGAAGTCTGTATTGGTTCCATTTTCTGAATGAAAAGCGATGGATGAAAGCAATGTCAACAGATATTCGACGTTTTTTGACACAAATTCGTACACATTACATGCCTTTCTCTAGATAATAATTCGTCATTCAAAGTTATGAAAATGTGAGTGATTTAAATCCCAGGGTGGTTAAAATAATTTCCTCTTTGCACAGGAAAAAGGCCAGGCTCAATGATGTTATGAGTCATTATCGTACTTTCTCGCGAGAAATAGAATCTGAATCAGTACAACGCTTTCTCGTAGAAACGCTTATAAAGGGACCGTATCGAGATGTGATTTACATTTGAAAAACATAATGGAATATTGCTTTTCTTTTAAGAAGGCACTATGCCGCACTAATGCTATACTTTAATATATTTTTTTCTTAAAAAGAAAAACACATATCCAAAACAAAAGAAAAAAAGGAAAGGAAAGAAAATGATGTATCTATTATCCATTCCTCAAAAGGGTTTTTCTCAAATAAACAAGAGGCCCATGGGCCACATCGCTCACCTGAGAAGCTTTGACCCCCACCCTACCCCACTGATCATAATTTAAACAATTTGAAATCTACACTACCCCAGTATGCTTCCATGTAAGTTTCAGGCTTTGATTTTCAGATTTTTTCTATATATTTCTATGTAAAACATTGATTCCACATTGTGGTCCCGCCCAACCCCCGGGGGTCATGATTATAACAATTTAGAATCTACACTACCCCAGGATGCTTCCAAATAAGTTACAGCTTCTCTGGCTCAGTGGTTCTTGAGAAGAAGATTTTCAAAGTTTTTTCCTATATATTTCTGTGTAAAACTTATTTCCCATTGTGGCCCCGCCCTACCCCTGGGGGTCATGATTTGAACAATTTAGAATCTACACTACCCTAGAATGCTTCCACATACATTTCAGCTTTTTTGACCCAGTGGTTCTTGAGAAGAAGATTTTAAAAGATTTTTCCTTTATATTTCTATGTAAAAGATTGATTCCACATTGTGGCCCCGCCCAACCCCCGGGGGTCATGGTTTGAACAATTTAGAATCAACACTACCCCAGGATGCTTCCAAATAAGTTTCAGCTTCTCTGGCTTAGTGGTTCTTGAGAAGAAGATTTTCAAAGATTTTTCCTATATATTTCTATGTAAAACATTGATTCCCCATTGTGACCCCGCCCTACCCCTGGGGGTCATGATTTGAACAATTTAGAATCTACACTACCCAAGGATGCTTTCACATAAGTTTCAGCTTTACTGGCCATGTGGTTCTTGGGAAGAAGATTTTTTAATGACCCAACCCTATTTTTGTCTTTTCTTGATTATCTCCCCTTGCGAGGGGTTATGTCCCTTCATTTTAACAATCTAAATTCCCCTTCACCCAAGGATGCTTTGTACCAAGTTTGGTCGAAATTGGGTCAGTGGTTCTTGAGAAGAAGTCGAAAATGTGAAAAGTTTACAGACGGACGGACGGACGGACAGACGGACGGACAGACGGACGACGGACAAAATGTGATCAGAAAAGCTCACTTGAGCCTTCGGCTCAGGTGAGCTAAAAACGAAATCATGCACAATTTTTTTCCATGTCAAAGATTTTTGGGAAGGTTAATGATTTGCATGCATTCAAATAAACCGAATTATAACAGTCAAATCATAACAAAAAGAGTTTGTTTTTTTTAGGACATACGCAACATAGTTTGAACTTAAGGTACTCCGATCCTCAGGTCCTCATAATCAGGCATTGACTACTGATATTGAAAATGCTCACAAAAATGTCGCTGAATTCTCAAAGTATTACATTTTTACCCTCGATAACTATTCAAACTTCATCTTTAAAGTAAATAATATTATATAGGGGCACTTAGTCCTTCTCAAATAAATTTTTAACAAATGCGAAGTAAAACATCGATCTACTATGCATTTTCCATTTTTAATTTGATCAACAAACACATTTTAGAAATAAAACTCATATTAGGTATCCAGGCGTTTGAAGAACTTGCACAATTTTTATGCATATAAAGGTACTTTAGTTTCTTCTATTTACTTCGATCATTTTACAATGCATAGTATATAAAGATTTTCTTATCATTACAAAACACAATAAATCACTTCTAATTTCATATCACGTTAATAAACATTGGTATTTTTGGTCATATTAAAAGAGTCTCAATTTCTTGAAATATGTCATTTAAAAATACTATAATGGGGTAAAAATGTCGACTTTTTTTATAAGACCTTTACATGGAACTTCAATGAGCCTTGGAGTACATACTGATAGGCATTAAATTGAAAATTGGTGCATGAAAAGATTTTAAATTTCAAGCTTCATTTTGAGACTTTTTTGAATTATAAATTATAAATTCAAGAGTTATCGGTTTCCTGGCTGAGGATCGGAGTACCTTAAATTAACATTGTACTTCCTAAGGACCCGTGGGCTATACTCTTTTAATATCTACGATCAGATTATGGTGCTTTACTTTAACACATTTTGATGAAAAAATTTAAAACATATGTAAATTGATTTTTGTACATGTATTATATTTCTTTAAAAATTATGCCGAGTATTTTCTTCATGTAACATCTATTCAAATCCCCTGATAAAGCATGTTGCTTTTTTTTCTATGAACATCTGATGTTATGATTTTTTTTTTAATTAAAAAAAAATATCTTGAAAATTTTCAGATAAAGTACGTTGCGTATGACCGTACGTGTATGAGAAAAGCAGCACTTACGTGGTGAATATTTGGTAAGCACTTATAAAAAGAAATTTTCATATTAGATATATATACATGTACCGTGCATAATTATGATATGCATTAACCAATAAATATGACTTAAGAAATTATATATATATCAAAAGTTCAAAACACGATAGAGTAATATAGATCAAAGGATGATTACATGGAACCGAGGATATAATAGTATACATGTACCTGTCAAAAACAAAGGACATTAATTACAAGTACTTTGATATATTATTATGTACCATTCATACAAGATCTCTTCAGCGACATTCTCAGAATCATTGAATATTTCATCTTTTTCTTTATTCGCTTTGAACATATATTTTATTGAATGAATCAAAAATCTAATTCTATATTTGTAAATTTCCTTCCCCATCCATACTCCCAGTATTTATAGATATAATATTAATACTAGATGTAACAGAACTGTGTTGTTTACGAAACGAAATGTGATTTGTACCGAATAGCACTAATCGGCTTCTTTAAAACAATTGATTTGACCTCACAAGAGCTCAGTTAAGTGAAAGTCCACTGAAATGTTGTTGAATGACAGAACCCTACCATTCAGTGACCTTTACAGACGATTAAGTCACAATTCCATTATTTCAGTCACAATTCAGTCGTTTCAATCAGTAACCCTTCAGTTGTTTCAGTTCCCAGTCAGTTGACTGAATGGTGCCCGTTTATCCTGGGGGTCGCCCGCGTGGCGCAGTGGATAGAGCGTCTGCTCTAGAGTCGCGAAGTAAGGAGTTGATCCTTATGTAGCGGGTTCGATTCCCACTTTGGGACGTGGAGATCATTCCTTCGGATGAGACCGTATAAACTGAGGCCTCGTGTCGCAGTAGGTGCTGGCACGAAAAAGATCCCTCCCTGCTCGATGGCCCTGAGTGCCGAGTGTAGGACAAAATCTGCTGGCGTCTCAGTATGAGTGAAAAATTCTCGATAGGGACGTTAAAAAATATACATGACTATATGTACACTCAATCAACCAATCCTCCTGGGGCTTCTTAACAATATAGAACTTATTGACCTGTTCATAAGAGAATTGATTTGTTTACAATTTGACTTGTTTATGACTTCTAGTATGATGACCTTTTACAATTTACTGATTTTTTTTATTCTTTATCATTTGTTTATAGCAATGAATTACTTTAGTACTGAATGGCAGTCGTAAACTTTAGCACTGACTTGTTTACAATAATAGATATATATTTGTTTAATTTAATAACACTGACTTTTTTTACAGGAGCACCGATTTAACGTAACTATTGAGTATGTTTGTCTTTTTTTTTATACATGCACAAACTCATGATCAACATGCTCAATACATTAACTTCCAGTGCGCTTGGTAAAAAACTTTTTTAAAAACTTGACTTGGTTTCTAATTTTCTATAAACATCATAAATATCTGTATCTACCCACCGTCGCTGTATTCCCCCTCCGGGATCTCATTCAGGTACAGGTTACTGCTGTCGATACTGAAAGACATGTACCGTCCCTTCTTAAACTCCGCCAGCAGCCCCAGGGGGTCGTCATCGTAAATATCATCCATATCATCGAATGTCCTCAAATCATCGAACGTCGTCAAATCATCCAACAATCATCGAATGTCGTCAAATCATCGAACGTGGACAAATCATTTAACAATTATCGAACGTCTTCAAATCATCTAACAATCATCGAATGTCGTCAAATCATCGAACGTCAAATCACCCAATAATCATCGAATGTCGACAGATCATCCAACAATCATCGAACGTCATCAAATTATCCAATAATCATCGAATGTCGTCAAATCATCCAAGAATCATCAAATGTAGTCAAATCATCCAAACAACAATGAATACACAAAAAACATATTTCCGTCGAATTACATATTCTTCCTTTATGTGTAAAAATAAATCCAGTGATAGTCCGTGAGTGTGATATCATAAATAGATATATTTTCTCTTTTTTTCGTTTAAACTAGCTTCCTGAGCATTTTAACTGTGAACACAGAGCTTGTCGACAGATATATGTCGTAACTTCACGCTGTTGTGGCCGCTGTTTCTCCCACACCCATTGCTTTTTCCTTTGCTGCATCTAATCACGGCCTTCTTGTTAAAACTTACAAACTTCATATCTCCTCAGGCCCATACCCAAACAGGAAGCTATTGGAGGAAATTTCTCATTTGAACCTAAGCTGTTTAGACCTTCACCGGTACATTAAGAAGGATGTAAAATATTGACACATTTTTATTTTAGAAAACAAAATTAAACCTCGTGTGTTTGGCTGCACAATCTCACTGGCTCATCTATAAATCCTTCCACTCATTGAATTACAGCTGGTTTTGTCCCCGACACACGCAATGAGCGCGGTCACAATGCAAACACTTATTCCGACTTCCACTCAAATAATCCAAACTCACCGGAGAAACAAAATATTACACAATGTACGTGAAGTCATGCCTAAGAAATTCCACAGGCCTCGACATGGCTTGAAAGTTTTAAGAGAATATCAAATATTCTCTATATAAACAGTTGTTTCTGTATTTGATACATACATCAAATGGCCCCTCGGTAGCTGAAACAGAGCACAGGGGCAGCTTTATTCTGCAGAACGTGGTAAAGTTATTTAGATATGAGATAAAAAGTTAAATGTTGTAGATTATAAGGCGATTCGTGTACACTATCAAGGAATGAATCACAAGAGTGGGTTTCTGAGGTTTGAGGGATTTCAAACCGACTCCAGATGCAAGACATTGTCATAACAGCTGGGAGGGATCAAATAAGGGGAACACAGTATAAAAATGTACAACAGGAATGTTTATAACAAGAATGTTTATAAAAAGGATGTTTATACGCGTGTGTGTAGGGGAGGGAGGGAGGAGGAGGTCACAATGCAAGAGTTGCTAGTAAGTCTCTCTCTCTCTCTCTCTCTCTCTCTCTCTCTGAAATTTTATTGTTGTTTTAAATGAAAACAGAATATTTGCTTTCAACAGCAAACTCACTGAGAAGCAAGAGAATAAATTCCGACGTTTATATCGCTATTTTTATCTTTCTTTCTGAAATAAATTTCAAAGTTTGAACTCCTTTTTCAAGATGATGTATCATTCAGATTTGTTCGGCTTCATGTACAAAGAGAGATAATCGAATCACACTTAAGTGGTAGTTAGCACTGCCACATAAGGCACGTGTAATGAAATAATTAGACAGGCCGCTCTGTGAGAGTCCCGCACTAATTTAAACACTGTCATTTACAGAAATTCAATATTACGCAAACATTACACAGGCTATCGATTTTTTTTTTTTGTCTGTAGAGAAACACAATTTGTTATCTTTTAACAAGAAGCACATTAAAAAGTCTTAATTATATAGACAGAATTTAAAGTTTGATAAATCGATCTTCTTCCATTGATAAAATTATCTTTTTTTTTTCTGTCAAGTTTTGTATATCTGAAATTAGAAAATTGGATTTCAAGGAATATACATGTATGACAAAAAAATCTTGAAATTGAGCCTTAATTTCTCTAGAGGAGGATAGAGGCGGATGAATATGTTTTACTCTTGTTTCCAGATGTCTGTCATTAGACCAAGCAATGTAATAAAGTGGACTCTACCAGATGTCTGTCCTTAGACCAATAGACTAATAAAGTGGACTCTACCAGATGTCTGTCCTTAGACCAAGCGATGTAATAAAGTGGACTCTACCAGATGTCTCTCTAAACCTTAATTTTTAAAAGTATTTTAGAGTCTGTTGTGATAAAAATCAAACATGTCCATGTTCCAAATTGACAAGTTGATGTCATTGACGTCGCCTCCAAATTCTAGAGACATACCTCTTAACCAATTCATATGTCCTTTGTGACCTCTCAGCGCTAGTGGATTTCCAGTGTATGGACGTAGTGCACGAATACCAGCTCCTCTCAGTCTCTTGCGAACACTTTGAGAACTTTATGCTGATTTCAGCAATTTGTACAGCAGTTCTGAGTCGATTGCGCAGGTGCCGAAGGAGGATCTGACGGTCCTGTCTGGGTGTGGTAACCTGCGGACAGCCAGTTCTTGGTCTGTCATACGTGTTCCTAGCTGGTGGAGACATGCGTTTAACTGCTGCAAAGCCGATTGATGTACACCAAATGCAGTTGCAACTTCCAGTTGCGTAGTTCCGTTAGAATCATTGTTAGAGCCTTATTGCGTTCATTTTTGTTTAGGCGTACGTGGCATTGCAGCATCAACATTGCAATCAAAGCAAAAATATGAGTTTAATAGGAGTGTTTATTGTTTCTCTAAATCCAAACTTTCATTGAAAATAGACACCCGATTTACAAGAAATCATGCAAAACACTGGCTATTTTCATAAACATGATGAATCAACACTTGGGGTTTAAAAGCCAATGATGTACTTTAAATAGGTCAAAGGTATCCAATGATGTAAGAGATAGTTGTTCCATATATTTTTTTCAAAATTTCTTTGATGAGTTAAACAATATCCGTTTCTTTTTTTTGTTGAGTATATATAGAAACCTATTTATAAGGGTACTTCAAAAATATAAGGAGTTTGCTCTTTGGCATTCCATAATTTAAAGACTGGCGCACCATCTAGCGATAATTCAGATAATATATATACGTAGTCTTGCCCTATGATCCTCTGAATTTGTTATTGGAATGAAATATAAAGAGATAACAAGGGTATTCAAGCCAAAAAGTCCATACAAACCATACACATCCGGAGCAAAGCAAACACGAAACTCTAAAACATAAGGTCGGATCAGGCATGACGGAAGAGTGAGCATCCCCTAGCGACCGGTCACACCCGTGGTGAGCTACTTGTCAGGATCAGTCAAGAACAGAAAATTCCGTCGAAATCCAGTGTGTAAAAAATGGTCCAACTCAACTAGTATGAAAAACGCCAGTAAGCACTTGACTTGCTAACAAGGTGATTGTATCGATCATTATAAGAAATTACGAAATAATGACTATAAACGAGACATTTAATATTCTTGTTTCATCGACTCATTTGATAATTGCAATAATTAATCTTCGTATCCAATCAACCAATAAAAATGCAGGTGTATATAACTATTTCGATATCTGTTAGTGTTGCTCGTTCATCTTAAAGTGGGGTTGATTTCAAGTCCATATTGATTTATATCTCATTCTTTTATGGGATTTTTTTGGTTTTGTTTCCGCTTCCAAAACGAAAGATCAGTTTTTAAATTTTTTTTACACCCTTTTTGCTTTTTCCTCTTTCTGGATTCCCAATCTATAAGATAAGATAATATTTATTTAAAGGCGGGTACATCAACAAAAAACATTAGATCCGAAGAGCTATTTTCCGACAACACGATTATGCGATTACATGCTGAAACATTGTTGCTCCTTTTTACGAAATATTACTGAACGATAATCCACCCCATCACACCTTTAAGTGTTAGATAGTTCCCCAGTAAAATAATAAAACCCTGCAAAAAAAATAAACAAAAAAACAATACATTCATCTAAGAGCATGTTCAGATTTAACACTCTTTATTCATTACCTTGCATATCAATAATTTGGCACAAAATAGTGAATGTTGCACAAAAGTGAATGTTAATTACGAGGGCTATTCATTATATAATGAGACTATATGTATTTCTTGTAAATTTTACACTTAAATGAATCGAATTAAAACGTCACTTAAAATAATCACTGTCTTTTATACTTCTTGATTTGTCACTTAATTCCAGTCTTTTCATACAGCAATGTTAAAAGAGAGCATCTTGTTCGGACTCACCCATGAGGACACTGTTAACACGAAGACAGAAGAAAAGTCCTGAAAGAACAATTTGAGTATCAGGTTATATGTCAAACATCCTTTTCTAATGAATATTACAGGAAAATCATTTTTCGAAGAACTCGTGTCATGTTATGGAAACTCTTTTGCACCTATCAAAACCGTTTATCGATGAATAAAACATGAAAAACTGGTAAAGATTCAGTTACAATACCAAATTGTCAAGAAGACCTAGATCAATTGTCAATGAAAAATCAGTTACAGCTAGGAAAATCGTTTTCGACAGAGAAGGCAGAGTGACCGTCACTTCGATTGCCTTGATGCTGAACTTTTCATCGGGTGGCTTTTTAAAAACGATAATTTAAAAGAAGGCTTAGGAGCAAGGAAAGTATCGCGAGGTGAACCCTACACATTTTTAATAGTGAGCAAAAAAAAGAAAGCAAGTGCAAATTTCTCGAAAAAATTTGAAATTTTGTGGGAAATCAAATGAAAGACTCCTGCATAAAATTGTTACAGGGAATGAAAGTTGGCTACAATTAAATGAACCCGAAAGAAAACCAGAAAAAAATATTGTCCCTTAAACAAAGTGAACAACTTACCATTGCTAAATGTGGCAAGAAATGTTTACGTGAAAAGGGTACAGTTTTAGGTACAAAACATTACAAAAAACAGAAGAACTAAGTCCGGAATGAGGGGTATCAGTACATGTATATGATAATGCCCTGGACAGCACACAATACAAAGTACACATGCGATTTCTTAATTCTGGGAAAATGGGTAACAGCAACTGGATCACCCTTTATTCAACGGATTTATCCCCATGTAACTTTTTCCTATATCCTAAATTGAAAAATTCTATCTTGTAGTCGTTTCCATTCTCGTGTTACATTAGGTTCAGTTGTGTATCAGTGCCTAAAGAGTATACCTCTCTTGAAATATAAAGGCGCGTTCAAAAGCTGAAAAAACGACTTCAAAGATGTGTTGAAGTAAAGAGTGATTATTTTAAAGGGATGTAAAAAATAAAATAAAAGGAAAGAATGCTATGTTATTTCTTTCTGCATTAACAAAGTCTCACTATTTAATGAATAGCCCTTGTATGCATAGTAAAACTAAAATTAAGATCTAGAGTATGTTAAGGTGAAGTATAAAAGACAGTATTTGACACAAAAGACATGCTGCAAACGAATTTTAAACATTTAAAAAAAATCAAATTTATTTGAGTGAATTTGCTATTTGTCAAATTATTTTATCAAAATATTCTAAAAATTTAGTACAATATTTGATTGTAGTCTACTTGTGTACCAAATCCTATGAAATTGAATTTTAATTCTTTAATTTTATTAAATTTTTTATTCAATATATATTATTTCCTTTTTGTAAATGACAAAACTTTACAATGCTCACCTAATAACCAGCCCTGCAGTTCATGAAATTTTTTTTATCCCTTACATTCTTATGAAAATTGTGCTTTAATTCAGATAATTAATGGCCACAAATTATCTCAAAGATGTCTCTGAATAACATGGAATTGCTTCATTATCAGGACGTTTAAACAAGTCTGACGTTTTCGTTGTAAACAAAGAAGGAAAAATGAAAAATTATCCTTCTTATAATTAGATAAAGTTGTTTTTTAATACATACATATGGCAAGTCAAACTTTGCAATGTTGGATCTTTTCCATTTGTATTGTAAAATTTTTCATTTGTATTGTATAATTTTTATTTGCATTGTATATTTTTACATTTGCATTGTATATTTTTCATTTATATTGTAAAAAAAAATCATGTTTATTGTATAATTTTTCATTTGCATTGTATATTTTCAATTTCCATTGTATAATTTTTCATATAGTTATTACCAAATCCGATATATGATTAGATTAAACGAATGAAATCCTTTGTAAAAAACCAAAATAAACAATCCCGAGCTCGGATACAATGCAAATGAAAAATTATACAATATCAATGGAAAATATAGAATACAAATAAAAATACAAATGATTTTTTTACAATATAAATGAAAAATTATACAATGCAAATGTAAAATTATGCCATGCAAATGAAAAATTATACAATGCAAATAAAAATTATAAAATACGAATGAAAATTATTCAATACAAATGGAAAATTATAGAATCCAAATTAAAATTATACAATATAAATGGAAATTTATACAGTACAAATGGAGAAGATTGAATATTGCAATTTTTGACTTGCCATACATACAGAATATATTTATTAGGTAAAATTTAAGCCACATCTAACTAAGGGCCCATAATTTTAAAATTGCAGGGTTTGAGAAAACAACTTATTTAACTTGACTAAAATATAACATCAAAAAAATATTCATCACATATAGTGAATATTTTATTCACTTGTACAGAGCACCTTTCAAAATATATTTCTACAGGTATACATACTGTACATGATGAATTCTAATTGTTCTACTTCTCAAATCCCCTTATAGATAAGTTGCCATTTGGTTTAAATTTTGCCTGGCAGCTAAAATCTTTGATCTTTAGCACATTATTTGAATATCAAAGACAAAGGTTCTTTTAAGTTCAAATTTACTTATTGTAAATCTCTCAAAACATAAAAAAATTGAACAAATAACAGAACTGAGTATTTGTTTAAGTAAATAATGGCATAATTAAAATTAAGACTAGCTATATAACCGGAGGTTCATAGACAGCGGAATGGAACTGAAATGAAATGGCAAGGAATTGTCAATTCATGTACCTTATTGTTAAATTGAATGTTAAATGTAGTTAAACATTACTGGCTCAACATAGTAATAAATTTATAAAAATTCAACAAACATGGAAAACTATACATTTAAGAACAGTATACATTGACATAAATACATGCAAGCTTCTGAATGTTATACATCCCTTCTCCTTGCTTGGACTTTTATTCCATTTTTTGTTCGTAATACAACCCCAATCTTAATATTGACTTCATGATCTGGATCCAAACTTAATTCATATCTGTTGAAAAATATAATTAAACTGTAATTGATATTTTTATTGATATAGAATGGCATTGAAGAAAAGAATAAATTTTGTTCTCAGTCATAAATTTATGACAAAAGTGTTGCTCAGTATTTTACTGAACCAAAAAGAATCCATTTTTTATTCTGAATTTTAAAATCTGATTACTAACAAATTAGTTTTCATATTACAAACCTTTGTAAAATATGAACAAGAATGATTTTCATTTCATTCATTGCAAAGTGTTGACCAATACAATTTCTGAAAAGAGAAGAATATTTATAAATGTAGTATAAAAGTTATGTATTAAGTGGTATGTTCTGTATTTGAATTGAGTTCATTATAACATTACTATGCAGCAGATCTCTTAGCTAGTTCTGGATACTGCAGGTAAAAACTTTGCAAAAAATTTGTCCCCAGTCTTTCAACCTCGTAACAAATGGGCTTGCTTTATGCAAAGTAAAGTCAAGTCAATGAAGACAGCATTATTTCCTCGAAGGCAGGACAAATTTTAAACAGGTTAAAATTGTATGCAACTTTAAATGGCAAAAATATTTTTAAAAATCTATCGTATATAATCTTTTTTTGTGTGTGTGTGTGTGTGTTTTTTTTTTTGTTTTTTGTTTTTTTTTTGTTTTTAAGGACAGACGAGACGTTCCTTAATAATAGATAAATTTTTTAAAGAGTTTGTCATTGAAGTATTGCTACTTAAACATGTTTACTCACAAAAAATTGAGGTACCTTACCAGGCATTTCTGCAAGATACCAGGGGTAGTTTTTCTTATGTAATCCTTTAGGGAAGAAAAATAATTTTCCAGTTTCAAATGTTTAAGTGTTTGGATTTTTTAAAAAACGTTTAGAAAATGGTTTAGAAATCAGAATGTTATTAAAATTTTGAATATTTTTCATACATTACGAAGATATACAATACAGATTTTGAGGAACGTCTCGTCTGACCTTAAATCTCGAAACTGGATGATAAGGCAGACACGACAGGTTTTTAGAAGTCTTTAGAAGAGGTATTTTGTTAAAATTACTTTAGGACCCTCTCAACACCAGTGCAAAATCTTTTTTGGACATTGAGAAAAATAAATTGTATAAAGGAGTTAATATTGGGCTTATTTATTCAATTTTCACTCTATGTTGAGTGACATTTACCCCAGGGAAAAATGTTCAAAGACAACTCAGTATCAGTGAAAAGAAATCACTGTTTTTTTTACTTCCATATAGATAAATTACGTATTCAGTTAATTTATCTTGGCCTTTTAAAATGTTAAGAATACTTTAATTAATTATAAATTGAGTAATATATTGTGAATTTCTTTTTTGTAGAATTTAGACCTAGGGGCAGATCACTCTAATCGCAGAAAAATACCATAGAAGCAGAACTCTTTAGTGTGTAGTGTAGAGAGGGTTCTTAATAGGTCTTTCAATTTTGATCCAATCTCCTTGTGATAAACATTTTCATGACTTAGCAGGTCTTACCTGGGACCTGCAGAAAAAGGCACAAAAGCGAAGCTGTCATTCTTCTCACTATCGGGGGAGAACCTGTTGGGGCGGAAGTCGTACGGGTCTTCCCAGACTGCCTTGTTATGATGGAGGTTATAGATCGGAATTCCCATCGTGGTGCCTATGGGAATGGGGTGGCCATGTAGCACCGTCTCCTTGGTTGTGACCCGCTGTATAAAGGTCACTGGGGGGTAGAGCCGCATACTCTCCTTTATACACTGAGTTAGGTAACTAAGCTTAGATAAGTCAGTCCTAAAATTAGGAAACACATCGCATCATATATCAAATGATGAAAGCAAAATCGTCACATTTTACTACGTATATACATACATAAAATTATCTATAATCTTATATTTAATGGAGTTAAAGAATATTCATACAGCTTAAAAATGTTCTTTTAATTTCAAAATATGAGGTTTCTTAGAGAATCATTGCCAGAAACATTATAATTGTAGTGGATAATTATCCCTAAAATACAAAGATATAATTTTAACAACAAAGATTCCAAACGGAAAAAATAATTTAACAAACTAGTAATAAACCATATTTTTATGATTCGTTCAATACGTAGTTTGATAGTATAGCATTTAATGAAACATTATCAAAGCACTGTTTCTAAAAATAACAAAAGTGGTTTGTTTGTCTTTCATTCTACTGATAGTGATTTCTTTATAATTTGTTAGACTTGGTATCTTGCAACAGTGTTTTCTTGCCAATTTTCAAACCACCTGTCCAGCAGATCAGAAACAAAGGAACTGGTGACGGGACATCCAAATTGTTAGTATGTATTAGTTTCCTTACTGGTAAAAGCAGCAATTAACATTATTAAAAGGTGGATCTGGATACAGAGGAGGTATTTAATGCGTGACATTAAGTTCTTTTTTTTCCTAAAATAAGGCTGAACTACAATAACCTTCTGTGAATGTGGAAGTGTATGTTTTTATAAGGTTTTTATTTATTTGCAGATTGACCTTTGATTCCTATACTAATTTAGATCAGTAAATATAAGCATTGGATTATGTGATGAATCGAATACTTGAAAATGAGACCAAAAAGATGTTTTACATATTTGCAATTAAGGCCAGAAAAATGGAGATATATACTGCAGCATTTTCCATGCCAAATGAAGCAGGGAATATAAAAAAGTCGATCAGTTTCAAGAACATTTGTTTTTCGTGAAATATACTATGAAGATTTGCACATGAAAGAGAGTGTGATAAATGCATGGCTGTTGACTTTGAATTACATCTCCTTAACAAAAGGGACTATGTTGGAATGTTGCACTTAATTTGACTAAACTTGTTAATCCTAGAATTTAAAATACTCTGAATCAAGAACTGTTGATAATTTCAAAATGTGACTGTTTTTAGATGTTTTCCAAAACTTGTGGATTTGTCATGTGTTGTTGAGAAACTTGAAATTTAGTGTTTTGCTGATGACTTGTTACCAGTGATTTCTTAGTAGTTTGTTAGAGTGGTTTGATAGTAGTTTGTTGAGATGGTTTGTTAGTAGTTGATGTGGTTTATTAGTAATTTGTTAGAGTGATTTGTTAGTAGTTAATGTGGTTTATTAGTAGTTTGTTAGAGTGATGTGTTAGTTGTTTGTTGATGTGGTTTATTTGTGGTTTCGGTGAAGTGGTTTGTTTATGGATTGTTACAGTATACTGTAGGTTTGTTAGCTCATTTGCATGTGATTTGCTTTACTATTTAACTACTTTCAAACCATAGTGGTTTGTTTGTTATTTGCTATAGTAGTTTGTTTGCCCTTTTTGCCGTATTGGTTCTGTTCATCATTCTGAGGTTTGTTTGTAATTTGCTATAGTACTTTGACAACACAGAGACATGGGTTTTATTTATCATTCTGAGGAGCTGAAACATTCAGCAAGACAACACAGAGACAGGTGCCCTTACCATTCTAGATCCTTGTTGTCTCTGTCCTTCAGAAGCTTGTCTATCTCTCTCTGACAGAGATCCTGGTGCTCAGGATGTTTGGCCAGCAAATACAAAGTCCAACACATGGCACTCGTAGTTGTGTCATGGCCTAAAAAACAAGAAGTTGGTACCATTAAACAAACAAAGAGACTAATCCATTGACTCACCAGGGAAATCTATGATTGAAAATAAAATTTAAAGTACTGATGTGACATCTCCTTGGAATGTACTTTTCTTTAAGGCATTTGATAATCAAATATCAATATGTAAACTGTAGAAAATATTTGCAGTAGTAAGGGAAGCAATTCCTACTACAAACACCATGAGAGTGATTTTTATTTCAAATTATATTGCTGCATTAATGTGCTCCTTCAATACATATGCTGTTATCAAAATGAGTAATCTGACTCGATGACAAAGCCACGTTTTAACAACAAGTAGAAATTTATCCATTAAACTAACTTTTAATAATAATTATAGACATAATGATTTTACTTAAACTGAATGAAATATGGTCTATAATTTCTACCTTCAAACAAGAATGTATCCACCTCATTTCTGATTTCTAGTGAGGTCAGGCCCTTGTCATTTTCATCTTTTGCTGTCAATAAAATGTCCAGAAAGTCTAGGTGGCGAGTTTTTGGATTTGGACCATCTTCTTTCTACCGAATCATTCATATTAAGTCAAAACATTATTAATAACCATCCTTATAATGTGCATATCTATCATGTAAGGGAACTGTAAAATGAAAGTTAAGTGGGTCTAGAGAAAATAATAATTCATAAACTACAAACTTTCTTCCCTATGAATTTTTTAATTTTCGGTTCAATATCTTTCTTTCATGCAGTGAAATAAATCCTTTCTTAATGCTGTATACAGGGTTATTTTCGCCTCGTGTTATTTTCGCCCTTCCACACTTGTAAAAAAATTTGCCCCATTTTAAATACGTCTAGTCAAAGTTCTGTTTAAGAAATTATACTTTGTTTTTCTTTAATTCGTCCAGTTTTAAATTCGCCCACCTGTGTGTAGGGCGAAAGGGGCGAAAATAAAATGAGAGCGAAAAAAAGTCCTTATATACAGTAATGCATACATAAATTGGTTCCCCAATATTTACAGTCTTTGTCCTAGATAAAATTACAAATTGTAAATGTACTCTATTTCCCCATCGGCGTTTATGCAAATTATCACGCAAGCCAATCGATTGATCACATCATGAAATCAAAAAATAAGATAGTTATTCCTTAATTATATAAAAGGGATGACAAGGGCAACTCACTAAACTTTTTCTTCTCTTTTCAATAATATTCTCTGCCACTTTATGCACATAATCACAGTTCTTTTTAAACTCTCGTCCACTGGCTGACAAACTGAACAGAAAGTCCGAGTAAAACCAAGGCGTCCTGTAACGAATACATGTGAACATTCTTTACATCGGTTTCTACTGTATTTTGATAAAAGTAGTTAATAAGAATCATACCTTATGCATTAACAAAGATCAAATGTGTTAAAAATAATAATTAATAATTTTCTTTGCACATTCATGTATATTTGCAAACAAATTCTAAATATTGATATTTACATGATTGTGTTAAGTTAGTCTGAACTGGATTATATTTAAGCATTGAATTATCATTTTTTGAAAGATGCAGTCTCATAACTGCAATGGTGTGTGCAAACATATTGAGTAACGCGCGTTAGCGCGTTATAAAAATTTGTTTGCACGCACCTTTGCAGTTATGAGACTGCATCTTTCAAAAAATGATAATTCAATGCATATATTTATATTTTTTTCCCAATTATTTTCCGCAATTTTGATTTTTCTATTAAAAATATCCGCCTTATCCTTCATGTAAGCTGCAATTGATAGAACAGCCTTTGGAACAGCTTCATCCGGAAACGTAAATAGTGCACAATAAAACAGATAACAACAATCAAAGTTATATTTATTTTTCAATCTAAAATGATAAACTATATTTTTGCAACAAAGAAATACAAATGAATCGTATAACAGACATAATTTTTTCGCTTTGTTTAAACAGTAATGGCATAGTCCCTATATTCATATACCATACAGACTTTGGTGATTTGGTTTTGTTTGTTATGAGTATTTATCACTTGTAATTTTATAATGCTTTTTATTAGGGTCAAACAAAGTAAATGTGAATATTCATAGATGACAAATACCTGTAAATTAAAATTAGAGCAATAACAAATGATGCATGAACTTTTGTACAGTAAAACATACTGCAAAAGGTGGATGGTTTTGCTTTATTATCAATTTATTTCATTATATTTGTTAATTTAGCAAAGAAATATACTTTCATAAAGGGGAGTGAAAATCACTTCACTGTAAGTGTTAATTTGTTTTAAGTGTGATGGTTATAAGCGTGTTTGACTGTATGTAGATAACTTACAAAGCCCTTGTCACCCAAATATCGGACAGCACGTTAACAGCGTGAACATAAGGATGTGTGTCTCTGAAACCCAGGAGTATGTATGTATTAAACATGGAAGAATCAGCTCAAATTATTTTAATACCTAAACATTCTAATTTAAAAAAAAACAAAAAAACACTATATTTATGTTTGGTAAAAACAGAATGGGTTTCTATTGTTGACAGTTATTTAAAATCAAATGTCTATTTTATATATATTTAGTAAACAGGCAAGAATCAGCTCAAATTATTTTGATAAATAAACATTCTAATTAAAAAAAAAAAACAATATTTATGTTAGGTAAAAAAAAATGCTGCTTGATCTATTGTTGACAGTTATATCTGACATGCAAGAAGGAAATATGCACAAGAAAATTGCAATCAAATAAATATTATAAAAAATCTTCAAAAATCTCAAATATTGTCCACATGTGACATCCAACATGCTAGATGCTACTTATTTATGCTAACGTGCAAGATAAATATGTTAGTGAAATGGACATGCAACCTAACTGTTGACATGCAAGATAAATATTACTTATTTATGTTGACATGCAACTTAGTTATGGAAAATGCACACTGGCAACTTAGTTATGTTGAGATGCAACTTAAATATGTTGACATGCAAGATGAATATGTTGACATGCAACTTATTTATGAAAACAACTCAAAACTTATAAGTTGCATGTCCATATTTATCTCGCATGTCAACATAACCAACTTCTTTGCATCTATCTTGTCAACATGAAAATTTTCATAATCTTGCATGTCACAACTAGCTCCATGAATAAGTTGCATGTCAACATAAATAAGTTGCAAAAGTCAACACAGAATTTTTGGATTTTTTATAATTTTTAACAACAATTAACCTCCATGCTAAACTGATTTGTACGTATGTGTTAGAAATGTTTCGATATTTGGTAAACAGATACTAAATTGATATATATATCTTATATTCAACAAACACCCAAAAGGCATTCAGTTGTTTATGTCGTAAAGATATTTACCACCAGAACAGAAGCAGCCTTGTTTTTGAGTGCTATGTAAGACTGTAGAATATCGAAATGAAATGCTGGGGTCAGGAGCCTGCGATTTCGCGCCCACTTCTCTCCATTGGCTATCAGTAAACCCTCCCCCAACCAATCCAAACCCAAGATATATACTGTACCTATCTGGCGTGGTTTTGGTTCTATCCGAAAAAAAAGGGTTAAAGTAAGAAAACATTTTGGTTAACTTAAGATTGATTATAACTTTTCAGTTATTTAATTAGGTCTTAACAAATACTCATTAGTATCATGGCCAACACTATCAAAACTGACCATGTTGACAGACAATGAAAAAACTCTACCTAATAATGCATGTTGTAAACTATAAGGCTAGTCAAAACATGTCAGTGGACTATAGTTGATCTAAGTCCAATAACAATACTGATTGCTATCTTTAATATCTTTGATTTTTTTTTTTTTTTTTTTTTTTTTTTAAGAAATTTAAGGTATACCAGAAAGTTCCTTTACTATCTAAAGCTGCAATGTCTTAATTTACAATAAAGTTTGTTTAACATATACATGTACAAGAGTAAAGTAAAACAAGATGTAGGATCCCCTAGCACAGAATATATTGATCTTCACATAAACTATCGTTTTTGCATAACTTCTCTTATGCCGTAATTTTAAATTAAAAAATCACTAACATCTTAAGAAATGCTACACATATACCGGTAGATTTCAGAAGTTCTTTGACTGTGTCTGGATGGTGGAGAATTAGCACTGGTCTGAAGCTAATCCACAGTAAGTGAAACAGTGGGTATCTGTCACAGTGCTCCATATGGAATTTAAGCCCCTCCTCATTAGGCCCTGGATACTACAAAACAACAAGTACAACCATAATACCTGCCATTAAATCTTTATCCTAATGTCTGTTATAACTGATCTTACGTTCAGCAGGTGCCCCCAGAGTCTGCTGGGGGAAGGATCCCCAGGGAGGTCATTGTACAAGTGGACCCAGGTACAGTAGTCTATATAGGCCATGGTCACTTTGAAAATGACGTAAAGTAAGATGGTCATGAATCCAAAACTGATCCATGACCACCATGTGGTAAGGATAGAGAGACCCAGGACTGCCATTATTTACACTGCTGGCCAACTGACCTAAAAATAGAGTGATACATGTATATTAACTCATCTCTAGTTCTCCTTATCAGAATTTATGGTTATTCTTTACGACTCACAATTGTATGTGTGCAGTACACGCATCGTTATTCTTTTCAGGATACACGATACGATAGGATACATGCACGACACGATAGGATACACGCGCGATACGATAGGATACACGCACGATAGGGTAAACACAAAACACGATACACGCAAATCACGATAGACCTGATGAACGATCTTCACGATAGGATAACCGCAAAACCTGATAGGATTGATTCAAAATTCGAAACGTTTTTTGACAATTAAGAAGAAAAGATTATTTTGTTTGAATACTGCAATATGTTTATTTAAATACCAATCTTGAAAAGCTTCAAATCTAAATTAAAAGTATTATAATTAAAAAAAACAACTTGAGATCACTGTGGTAATTTTACAAAAGTTGTCTATTTATTTTTTGATAATGATTTAATGGATTATTATGAAATGCAGATTGTAATTTTTTTTCTACTGAAGGGTGGAGATTTCCGATTATTTGTGTAAATGTCGGATTTCTCATATTAAGGTTGAACTATGAATTGTTTAATTACAGACACACAAATTCCGTAGATATGTGCTGTTTATCACGGGTACTATTATAAATTTATGAAACTCCATAATAAAATTAATTATTAATGAAATTTACATTTGTACCTAACAAATTCATGTACTAGTACTTAGTTATTTCACGGAAGAAAATTACGCAATAAATTCAATATTTGTATTTAGTGTCTAAAGCTTATAATCTGTGGTGTATCCAAACATCGCAATTAAATATTAAAATCTTGGGAAAATAATACATGTAGAAGATCGGCCGAAAGAAAGGGTCAAAGAAATCGGCTATAACAAAATTTCTACTGTAATGTCTTTTGTACTGATTCGGATATTATTGATTACATTAACAATTAATTAGATTTCTACTCAGGAAATCATGAATGTATTGTGAACTATATACTTCAAGAAAATTCATGATTTCCTGAGTAGAAATCTAATTAATTGTTAATGTAATCAATAATATCCGAATCAGTACAAAAGACATTACAGTAGAAAAGTAACATGTCTTGATATAGATATTCAATTTTAAAGATAAGTAAAGAAAAATCTGAAGAAATGAAAGATTTATAGAACTGGACAAAGCTTAACGGGTTGAAATCTGGTAGTCACGTCACCTTACGTCAAGTGATTGCTCCGTGAATCCCATGACCTCATAGTAAAAATCGTTGTAAATTTTCAAGATTTTAGTATATGGATCTGATTTTTTACATACTAATAAACAAATTGTAGGAATTTATTCAGACATAGGTCATAATTCACAGTACACAATAAATTTTCCGTAATTCAATGTGTCCCCGAACATTTCTAGCAACCCTCGTATATATATCACACTCTTAAAAAGGTTTTACTTAGTAGTCATTTTTTACTTGAAATAACAAAGATAAGTAATATATAATTACTGCAATAAAATAATCAAAAATGCCATTAATGATCAGCTGTTGATTAATCATTGTAAACAAATTTATGGAGCGCCGTCACTGCCTTATAGCAGAACGCTGCAATTACATTGTGTCAACTTTCCATTACATTATGTCAACACTTTGTGACATTTACTTACAGTACTGTTGCATTGAGTCAACTTTCCATTACACTATGTCAACTCTTTATGACATTTACACACACTACTATTGCGTTATGTCAACTTTCCATTACATTATGTTAACTTTATATGACATTAACTCCACTTCAATTACATTGCGCCAATCTTCCATTGCATTATATCAGCTCTTTACGACATTATGTCAAAACAGTTTTACGTGGTGTAAAGATGTTTTTATATAATTTCAACTCATTATTTCATTATGTGCACTCTCTACTATTTGGTCTAAGTAGTTCATTACATGATGTGAATTTATTTTAATTCAATATCAAGTCGCTATAACACGATGTCAGAATTTCATTACATGTTGTGAAAAAAATATCACATGTGGCCAATTCTTCACTATATTGTGTCATCAATGTGCTACATGACTACGGGAATCTATTGCATGGTGTCAATTTTCCCTTACTTTTTGACAGATCATTATTATGTTATGCCATTGTATCTTTACATTGTGTCTAAAATGCTTAGCCTCTTGTCAGTATATCTTAGAATATTTCAACTCTTTATTGTGTGACGTAAGGTTTAGGTTATGCCTAAAAGTTCGTTTTGTGTTTTCAATATTACATGCACATATGTTAAACATGCAAATAATTTAAATTAAACATATCAAACATTAAATTATACACAAGACTTAATTAATCCTTAATTAAATATCAGGTTAAATTTATAAATAGGATCATGTTTCCATGGAATCTTTATTGACGATTGTTTTTTTTTAATGTCGAAATTCAATGGCTTTTTAATCTCATAATTATCGCAAATCGAATAGCATGTGTCATAAAGCAATATTTTTCTTTTTATTTTGAATTATTTTGAAAAGTCCGAAACTTCTGATCTAACTACAGAACACTGTCCTAAGCTTTTTATCAGTCTTTAACCCTCCTTTTTTTTTTTTAAAAGTGTAAACACATCGTATTTCATACGTGTACTGGTGAGTCGGTGGGGAGAGGGGAATCCCGCCCTCCCATCTTTAGTGACCAAAATATGCATGAAATTAATCAATTGATTTACCTTTGTAGGACATTGCATTAGTTTTACATAAAGTATAGCTGAAAAAAGTTGAAACGTTTTATAAAAAAATCTAGAGCCTGTGAGCTTCCGGGCTTTCACCCCCTGGTCCCCAACTTAGACACCATATTGTCCCCCTATAGCTACTCTTTTCAAGAACCCAAGATTGCCACTGATATGAGCCCATTGTCCTCTACAAAAATTTGAATTTTTCAATTAAAATTTGTATATGAGAAAAATTCAAATTTTTTTAATAGGACACCATGTTTACTAAGGCATGGTCAATTGATTTAAGTGAGGGACTGGTAGATTTTTGTAACAGAATTCTGGTCCTGGAATGGTTGAAAAATGACTAATTCCAGTGACGTTGCATCGTTTTTGAAAGTTGGGGGAGGTTTGCCTAGCCAGAAAAAAATAACGTACAAGAAAAAGCAAAAAAAAAAAAAATATTCGAACTCGAAAATCCTATTTCGGGTGAAGGGAGGGGGAGGTCCAACTTCGATCAGTCCTAAAAAGAAATTCCAAATATAATACATTACCCTCATACTTCAGCAAAAAGTGGGGTTGAATTTCAATGAATATTTTCTATGATAAAGTTATGTCGGAAAAAAGAGGAAGTTAGACCCCCCCTCATATAATGTCTCTGTAATTTGTCCTAATTAATCAAGACCCCCCCTTCCCAGTCGTGATAACACGGTTATCAACTTTGACATAATGTAAATGTATTTTACAGCACGTAATGAACATTTGTAATCAACATGATAAAGGATTAACACAATGTAAAGATAGTTTTAAATCACATATGTAATAAAGTGTTGATATAATATGGAACGCCGAGACTGTTTCCATAATATATGTTCACATTATGTTATAAGCCTTTTTACATCACGTGATAAAGCACTGACATAAAGGTAAGATGTATTCACCTCACATTGTGATGACCTCGGCGTAAAATAAAGATACATTAACATCACGTAATAATGCTTTGTTATAATAGAAATATACACTCACAAAAGGGAATGGACTTTGACTTAATGTAATGATAAATTTAATCATAGAACACATGTAAAACGAAATAAACTTGACGTAATGCAATTTTGACCTCACATATTAAAGAGATGAAATACTGTATAGGGGGAAAATAACTCGCGGTGTTAATATTCGCTATATTCACGGTGTTAACAAATCCGTGAATTCAAGAAACAGTGAATAAATTTTCAATAATCTCCATGTTTTATTTGGAAATTTGTGAATAGACTACGATAGATTTGTATAGGTGTACGTGCAGTCCATGGTCATTTCAGTAATTGCGAGTTGTAATGTCACTCAATTAATTTTAATTATCACGCTTTACTCTAATTCAAATCGGCAGATAATAATTTGTGTTTGTTCAAAAGCTGTTTTAATAGCCAACGTGTTTCATCAATCAAAACACGTGGGCCATGGGTTTTGATTACCCGTGCGTAACTAATGTTACCATGTGGATTTGTTACCTGCATTCTCATGGATATTAGTTCATGTACAGTTTTTATCGACATTTTGGTTTTAAAAAATCATTCAAATAAATATCGAACTTACTGACGATGTGGAAGGATATTATTTCGTAGAACTACATAAAAACTTTTATTTCCGTCCAGTGGTTTTTCGCCGCGTTGTATTATGATCTTGGGTGCACATGCACTCGTGGTAATAGCATATAGGAAAGTCATTTGACGTTTAGAGACTATTAATAATTGCACTTGTGTTAAATACTTATTTAAAAAATATAACAATTTTATAATAACTTACCCTGTTGTTCGTGAAATAAAAACATAACGCTGATTAATTTCGTTTACATGTAGCTATGGTATAGATTAAATGGAGACAAGGGAAGTAACTTTTATTATATACATACCAAATTCCGCGAATTCAAGAAACCGCGATCGTGTCAGATGAGAGAAAAACGTGAAAATTACAACCCGTGAAATTAATCCCCTATACAGTAATACAAAGAAACATTTATTTCACGTAATAAAGTTTTAACACAATGTAAACATATTTTCACTTCACATAATGAACTTTGGTCTTCAAGTTATAAAGTGCCGACATAATGGAAGAATGTGTTTACTTCAAGTAATGCAGCATTGACATGGTGTAAAAATATTTTTACACCACCCCATAAAAAATTGACATAACGTAAAGATATGATCACATCACGTGATGATAGATTGATATAATGAATGCATAATTTTATGCTATAAGGCAGTGATGGCGTTCCATAAATTGA